GAACATCGATTATATAAAAATATTTCTGCTTCAAAATTTTTAATTTTTTAAATTTATATTATGCATTGTAGAATATGTATATGTTTAAAATAAAATTAAATATTAAACAAATTTTGACACTGATTTTTTAAAAAGTATAAAAAGAAGCATATATTACAATGATGTGTAAAATATAATGCACTGTCTATACCGTTTACATTATACATATAGTATATGTAATGAGATTTTGCTGTATTTTGTATACTTTGTCAGAAATCACTACATAGAACCACATATTCAAATCAATATCAAAAACTGAATTGGCTAGCATATAAAGACGAACGACAAAATTGTAGCTAGATAAAAATGAGAGCAATGTTAAATATTTAGATAAAAATTACAGCAATGCTAAATATTTACTAATAAAATAAATTGGATTATTTGCATGCACATATATTGTAATTTTTTATGAAAATAAAACACAATTTATAGATACATTACGACCTTAGTTTTCTGCATTTTTCCCGCTATAATATTTAACGACATCGTAATAGTAAATGGTTGTCGCATAAAATTTGCAGTTGAATACAGTCTCGTATGTTGTAACATGAAAGAGTGGAGAAATATTGTGAGTTTGATATCATGATAATTATATAGCTGGCGAGTGCAGAGGGGAAACTAAACGAACAATAGTCATTAGAAAGTCATAACATATGGCTATAGACATTCTAAGATTGATCGGAGTTTCGTGAAATCGGTTTACAGTATTATTGGTAGGAGGGCCACATTTATTAAAAAGGGATAAAATGTTCTATATACCTCACATGTGACAATATATAAAGTTTCTTAATCCTGGTATTATAATTATGACTCAATATTTTTTTTTACTTATGGAATTTTTTACATGAAATCTCTTATTTATTTAATTTTATTTTAGATTATTATATGTTATATTTTATACATCAACCTGTGCATTAAAAATAATATTAAGGATTTGAAATTAATTATATACTGCATTAATTATAAAAATAAATCATAATATTCTGCAATGGTAATTTAAATTGCAAATTTTTGCTAATCTTTTTTTATAATATTACTATGTAAAAAGTATTTAGATTAATATAATATTATATATAATTATTTTTATTTAATTATATTATAATTTTAATTATATAATAAACTATTTTAATTATATAATAAATTATTTTCTCAACTATTTCTGTATATGTATATCAGCGTTTTACTTGTTATAATCGAGAATGTAATTAAAAAGAATGTAATTATAAGATGCAGGTTCTTGAATTAACACTAAAAATTCTTATGGCTGGGGGATGCTGGCCACCAAATTCTTGGACATCATTGTATAAACGCACTGTGTATAATGCATATACAGTTTTTATAACATCTTTACTATTTACTTTTATGTTACCTCAACTTATGGATATTATCTTAAATGTTGATAATACTGACGATTTTGCCGATACTTTTTACATCATGCTTGCCATGATTATGTCTCTTTGTAAAATGACCGGTCTTTTGATGAATCGCCAAAATATTGGGACATTAACTAATATTCTTATACAAAAACCGTTTATCCCACTAGAAGCTGATGAAATAGAAATTCGACACAAATTCGATAAAGTGATACGGTAAGTACTAAAAAATTATTTTTGCAAATATACATAAAATGCTAAAAAAGTTCTCAACAATAATTAAACTACAAATCAAAAAACATGATAACATAAAAAGAATATTCGCAACAAAACATTTAGTTATTTTGTAGAACCAAGACTTTGTGGTACACAATCTTAGTCGAAACGACGTGTGCGTACACCGCGCTGACGTCATTATTCACGGATTTTCGAAAAGGCAATCTAACATTTAGGGAATGGACTCCGTATAACTATTCCGAAGTGGTATTCTATGTGATATATGCTCGTCAATTAATAAGTACGATGTTCGGATCGGTAGTGAACGTAGCTTGCGACACTCTGATCTGCGGTCTATTGTTGCACGTGTGTTGTCAAATTGAGATACTCGAGTGCCGGCTGAAAAAGATCTCACTCGGTCGAAATAATCTGCGAGAATGTGTATATCAGCACGACAGTATATTTAAGTTAGTTTTCTTAAATACAATCTTACAAATTGTAAAATAAGAAGAAAAATATTGTAAAGAATATGATTTACATTCATTTAAATGAATAAGTACTGCGTACGAATATGTTGAATATGTCATTAATTATTTTCGTATCTCCAAAATAAAATCTTAGGTAAATATTTTCAGAGTTAAACATGTTTCTCTCAAGATATTTTTCTGTTGTAGATTTGCATTTATGATAAACGAAAAGTTCCAGATAATTATTGGCATTCAATTTATAGTGAGTACGCTAGTGGTTTGCTCTAACTTATATCAATTGGCGAAGATAACGTTTAGCGCGGAATCTTTTCCAATGATATTATATACATGTTCCATGTTGGCGCAAATTCTTATCTATTGCTGGTATGGAAACGAAGTTAAGCTAAAGGTACAACGCATATTCCTGAAAGCTTAAATGTAATATATTACATAAAATATTTACAAAAATGTTAGATGAAAAATACTTTTAGTTGTATACTTAAAAAAGTCAAATATGAGTAATTGAAATTAAAAAATATATCTAATCTTATCTACAGAAATTGCATGTAATATTTTAATTTAATTTATTTTATTTATTACGCGTCACATCTTTTTTATATAGAGCAGTGAACTATCCGCTAATATTTTTAAAATGGAATGGCTGACACTAGATCAAAATGAAAAAGCGGGTTTATTGGTTATTATGAATCGTTCCCTAGTACCTATTGAATTTACTTGCGCGTATATCCTCACGATGAATCTCGATTCTTTCGTAAGCGTTAGTATCTCAAATCATTGTCACGTAAAAAATGCAATCATAGTTTTTAGAAAAGTTAATAAAAAATATGCATACAAAATATTTTTGATGCATATTTTTTTTAAATTATACTATATTAAATTATTGTTTTACACTTATAAAAATCAATTTTTTTGCTATATTTTAATTATTATTATGACAGTTATAATTAGAATTTAGTCAATATTTTACGAAAGAAAGGAAAAAAAATTAAAATTAATTTGAAAATAAGATTGAAAATGTTCATATTTTTGTGTTGCAGTTACTTAAGACATCATATTCTGCTTATAACATATTACAGCAGATGGGAACAACATAATTTAAACGGAAAATAGTATAGAGATTAGCCATAATGTTTTCCAATTAAATTGCGTATAATCGTTAATTAATATTAATTATTTAAATTTTATCCACATAACATTATAGCATACAAATAAATAATAATTGATTAATGTATTTTCTTTCTTCTTTTACTAGATATAATTTGCGATCTTTAATTAATAAGAGTATTAATAAGAGTTTTTTATGAATATTTTAACATTGTGATAATGAAACAAAAAAAAGATTTACCTAAATAACCGTGAAGGAGAGGTCAATATTTTCACAATATTTGTTTCTGAAATAATTAACACACCACATAATACTAAATTAATTGTGTATATCAAAATTTTTACGCAATATGATACTTTGCTAACATTAAAATAGTGAATGGATATATATCTCTTGATACGCATTCTTAATACATTAGAGATTCATTCCACCTATATGTATATTTAATGAATCTTGAAATTGCTTGTATTCTATCAGAATTCCGAGTAAATCGATATCAGGGAAAGGACTATAATAATCGAACATATGAAGCAGAACTGGTGACAGCAATAAAATTCCGACATTAATAAAATAATAAAATTCTAAATAAGTATATATCACTTGCATAAAGATTTCATGGCGATCGTAATACCTAGTCTATCAAGGCTTTAGTCCATAAGCTTCTCCTGCATTATTTCCCTTCTTACGGTTCAATATAACGTTGCATTTATGTCATTTTATGCTATGTAAAGTCCGCAAAAGAAAGGAAACATAGCATATTACTTATAAAAGTATAATATTACTGATCAAAATATATTGCAAGAGTTCAATACTATTATAATTACATGTCTATAAGAATGAAGTTAGACAGACAATTGAGTAAAGAAAGTTGCGTTGTATGGCTATAGACATTGTAAGAATCTTTTCGGAATTTAGTAAAATTGTTTTAAAAAAATATCAGTGTGCAAAATCAACAAGATTACTTGATATTTTATACGTATGAAAAATGTAAAACAATTTTATGAAATTCCGAAAAGAATCTTACAATGTCTATACGCAAAAATGATTTTAATTTGTTAGAATTAAAAAAAGCAATTTCTATATATATATATATATATATATATATATATATATATATATATATATTAATATATATTTAAAATTTGTGTATCAAGTGTGCAATATTCTTATGTAACATTAAAAACTGCATTTTTAAAATGTAATTTTTTTAAAGCAATGAATTTATGTAGACTTATAAGATTTTCATTTTATATATTGTACAATTGTTTTTTCTCTTATAAAATGTTTTAAATAATTTTTTAATAATTTTATATTGCACAGTTGTAGAGAAGTACAATATAATATAAAATATTATAGACATTTAATTAATACAAGAGGAATCGAGTGAGAAATTTTAAGAAATGCGAGTTATGCAAATTTCATTGAAAATTCTTACGGTGGCAGGATGTCGGCCACCAGTTTCCTGGACCTCATTGGGCAAACAAACAATATACAACACATACACAATTTTCGTAAGTTTACTACTGTTCACCTTTATGTTGCCGCAACTCATGGATATCATCTTGAATGCCGACAATCCTAATGATTTCACGAATACTCTTTATGTAATGATGGCTCTGACGAACGCTTGCTGTAAGATGGTCAGTCTGGTTATGAATCGCAAAAACATCGAAATATTAATCGAGAAATTAATTGAGAAACCATTTAGACCATTGGAATCGGATGAGATTGAAATCCGACAGAAATTTGACAACATTATACAGTAAGCAATTGAAATATTTGCGTGTTGCTATTATGTTACAGTTTTATTAAGGAATCTATACATTTTAATTTTGTATTGTATTCCATGACTACATCAATATCATAATATATTCAATATTATATATTTGGAATTGGCAAGCATAGCCAAAAAAATGCGAAATATTTTTAATATAATATAAATATAAGAAAATGTAAGAGTAAATAAAATGTTTCTCCCTTATGTTATCTGAATACAAAAAGCATATTTTCTTTATCTTTAATTAAAGGAAGAAAACACTAAATAAAATCATCTCGAATTATTCCAGTCCCCATAGTCATTTTGCAGGGCTAATACTATAATCTACGCTGTTATGATCGAGGTAACATGCGGGTACATGACTGTAACATCCTTATTCACGGACTTCCGGAGAGGAGAGTTAGCATACAGGGAATGGATACCATATGAGTATTCATCTGGCATAATGTATTATATTATTTACTTCCGTCAATTAATAAGCTTGACAGCTGCATCCGTCGTAAACGTTGCCTGCGATTGTCTGATCTGCGGATTGCTGCTGCATATTTATTGTCAGATCGAGATCTTGGAGTGTCGATTGAAGAAATGCTTGCGTGATGGAGGAAACTTGGGTGAATGTGTATATCAACACAACCGTATTTATGAGTCAGTTTTCCTATATTTCATGCGCACAAAATATTCTTTTAGTTGATCTAAAATATATAATATTAAAAAATATTTTAATTATTTTATAACTTTTTTCAAATTATTACATTGTTCAACATTTAATAAGCATGTTTAAAAAAAGGATACTGAAATTAAGATATGAATTACATGATAATTGATAAATTTTTAAAATAATAATTAATTCGTTATAGTATTTTCTTAAAGTTAAATTGCATGCTTTGATTTATTATGTACTTAGTTTTGAGATATTATATATATTATATATCTCAATTATATATTAAATATTAATTATATATTATATATTAAAACATGATTATCTAATTTAATCGATTATTATTTTTATCGTATAAAGTGTATAATAATAATTTAAACACTTTAATTTTACTTACTTTAAACACTTTTAATTTAAACACTAATAATATTTTTCTTTTATAGATTTGCATATATAGTAAATGAAAAGTTCAGAACTATAATTGCTGTTCAGTTCTCAATAAGCATGCTGGTGATGTGCTCCAATTTATATCAATTGGCGAAGAATACCTTAAGTGCGGAATATATTCCAATGATAGCGTACACAATCTGTATGACTATACAAATTTTTATTTATTGTTGGTACGGGAATGAAATAAAACTAAAGGTATTGATTAAGTGCATAATCACGTAAGCATTGAACATATTTTATCAAGGTATTTATGTGTGCGATAACAAAATTCTAGAAGATAAATATATAAAACTGATTTCTAAAATGTTTTACATATAATATTATATTATTATAGTACATATAATATTATACGTAATAATGAAACATTATTATTCCACCATAAAAAATATATATCATATTATCCCGATTTATGTTTATTTAACAACTTCCAGAGCAATCAATTAACCGATGAGATTTTCGGAATGGACTGGATAAATGTCGACAAGAAAATGAAAGAGAACCTTATAATGATTATGAATCGTTCTCTGAAGCCAATTGAATTTTCTAGCGCATATATTTTTACAGTAAATTTAGACTCTTTTGTAAAGGTCAGCAATAAATTTACTTTTATGACTGTAATAAATTTTATTCGATAGCATTATTTAAAAATTGGCATCTTTTCCAGTTGCTCAAGACATCGTATTCGGCATATAGTATACTTCAACAAATATAAAAAAATAATAATATTCTTAAAGATAGACAGAAAGAGAGAGAAAGAGAGAAAGAGAGAACGTAGTGTCAAAAAATATTAACCAACAAGAATAAAAATCTGCAATGATGGAGTTAAAATTTCTTATGCAATTGCATATCTTATATACGTAAATAAAAAAGTATTATTAGCCTGTATATATTTTGTATTACATCTTTTATCTATATTTTTTATCAAACTGTTGTCTTCGACTGCTTAAAAATTCAAGTATGATGACTGTGATTAAACATATGTTGACTACAAGTGTGATTAAATTTTATTTATATTCAATAAGCTATTAAAGGGAGAGGGAATGTAACGTATTATAAAAATATATTTCCTGAAATAATTGAAAATTAGGATAATTTGTGAATAAAATAGAATAATCTGTGAAAATATAAATAAATATTAGAAAGTACAATAATTTTCATCATGCAAATTATTCCTAAAATGTAAGTTCATTTTTCTAAAACTATTACTAGTTATGCATTATATATCATATTTCTATTTGTACTTAAAATTTTTCTCAATAAATATAAATGTGGAAATATGGATATAGAATAGATTGCGACTTGCTGCAATATAAAAATACTGGGCAAATATCAGTAATAGTGAAATAAAATAATTTTTAACAGATGCGACAAATCTTACCTTCATCAAGATTGCATGGAGAAATAATCGACGGTCTATAAGCCAAAGGAATATATCTACCTTCCATTATTTTCTGTATTCATCTCACTATATTTCTTTTTTTCGCATCGAGAACAGTAGCATTATACATCATTATCATATAAAATTTACATTCAATACAAATTTCCATTGACGATTCAATCTGAAATAAAAATATTCTATCAATAAATGTAATATTACTAATTTCTATATTACGATAATTACATAACAGTCAAATAGAGAATATGGACGGAAAAATATCATCTATAGACAGTGTCTATAGAAATCCTAAGGTGGTCAGTCTTGTAGAAAATAACTAATCGTTATTATTCATCGCGAGACTAAAATTTGTTTGCATTATTTTCTACAAAATTTTTCTAAATTTATATGTGCATGATTTTCAATCATTGATAATAAATTCTCGTTCTGTTTCTTAGCTTTTTAAATGATATATATCATTTATATGTGAATCGAAAAAAATCGATTTCTCATAATTTTATAGAAAAGTTTTCTTCCTTTGTACCTGGAAAATAGGTAATAATTACTTAAGACAAATGTTAATTCCCAATGATTCTAATGTTTCGAAGAAATTTGCTATTCGGTACGATAAAGCTAAAGATAAAACTAAAACAGATTTATTGAAGTTAACGCTTGCATTTTTGACAATCGCTGGATGCTGGCGACCAGCATCATGGATATCTTTGTACAAGTATAGACTCTACAACATTTATACGACAATTTTGATTCTTCTATTATATACGTTTGCAATTTCCCAATTCATGGACATTATTCTAAACGTCGACAATCCCGAGGAATTCACTAGTGTTCTGTACATAATGATGACTGTATGCGTGGCATCCTTTAAAATATCCAGTATGATGATGAACCGTAAGAATGTAGCGGACATTATTAACACTCTTACTGACAAACCATTTAAACCGATGATAATTGATGAAATAAAAATTCGTCAAAATTTCGACAAAATGATACGGTAAACATTATTTAATTACGCTTCTTTATATATAAGTATTAGAAAATGTATTTTATAATATAGTGATAATCAAAAGAAATTGTTGGAAAAAGTAACAATGTGTCAGTGAACTGTGTTCATTGAATTTTTGAAATAAATGTCGACGCTCTTGGATCAAACAAAAAGAGAATGATCGGATTAAAAGTTTTTTAACAGATTTCAAAATTTATTTTATAGAAACAACACGTTATATTGCTTCGTTCTGGTCGGGTCAACATGCGTATGTATAGCTTTGACTTCCCTGTTCACAAACTTCAGAAGAGGGAATCTAACGTACAAGGCATGGTTACCGTTCAATTATTCGTCCCCCGTGTTATTCTACCTCACGTACGCTCATCAATTGACAAGCATGGCAACGTGCGCCTTGGTCAACCTCGCCTGTGACTGCTTCATCTGCGGGCTCCTGCTGCACGTTTGCTGCCAGATCGAGATATTGGAACACCGATTGAACAACAAGTCACATACTCGAGAAACCTTGCGCGATTGCGTACGTCACCACGACCTTATATTTGAGTTAGTTTCGTATAAACGGTTTGAAATATGATTTTTATGAAAGGCAAAAATCACATGCTCATTCACATTGGGAGCTATTCTAATTTATAATCCTTTAAAATTATACAAACTATTACGTTTCCAACATTATTTTTAATTTTATAATGTACATTATTTTCTGTAATTGATATATTAATTCTTAGAATTAACTTCCTCGAAATCAAATTGTTTATTATTAATATATTAAGGACATCACATAAACTACCATAAATAGAAAATATTTAACATATTGTATAAATGTATATTTCGAACAAAAAAGTAAAAATTATTTCGATATCATAGAATATACGGAACAGTTTTTCACAATATATTGCAAAATACAACTTATTTATTGAATTGCAGCTTCGCCTCCACGGTAAATGAAAGATTCGCAAAAATAATCGCTATTCAATTTATAACGAGTACATTAGTAGTATGCTCCAATTTGTATCAACTGGCCCAGACAACACTAAGCGCAGAATATCTTCCACTAGTATTATATACAGTCTGCATGCTGATAGAAATTTTCATATATTGTTGGTTTGGAAATGAAGTCAAGTTAAAGGTATACGCATATGTATACACACATACACACACACACACACACACACACACACACACACACAATTAACATTTTGCGAGAGACTAATTCAATAATTTGTTGAAAAGTTTTAATTAATTATGACAATAGAGTACGCAAGTATTGCCTTACTATTTTCTTATATTTGCAGAGTCTCCAATTGACTGATCGTATTTTTGAAATGAATTGGCCAAAACTGAACAATAGCTTCAAGAAAACTTTTCTAATGATTATGAATCGAGCAACAATACCCATTGAATTTACTAGCGCCTATCTTTTTTCCATGAATCTCGAATCTTTCGTAGGAGTTAGTGTTGATTTATAATCTTTACAGTCAATTTAAATGATGAAATAAAATCATGTTATTTTTTTTCTTTTCTCTTAATAATTTAATTAAAAAGATTTTAAGTCAATATATTGCATTATCACTGAGAAAATTGAGTGTTCGATTTTGTTTATCAAAATTTCGACTATGAAAAATGTTTAAAAAAAAATAATTCTAAATATACTTATTTATTGCAGTTACTTAGGACATCGTATTCTGCATACACATTGTTGCAACGGCTATAAAATCAACGCAAAGAAAATTACGTTTATGTACGCAATATATGCTAAATATATAAATAATACTTTATGTGTATCAATAACTGATAAATTAAAATTAGTGATAATGTATGTACTTGAAAAAAAATAGTTTGTTACGAAAAAATGTACAGAATTACAAATAATATAATAAACACAATATTACATTTTTCAAATATTTCACATATTAGTAAGAAAATATTACATGTTATAAGAAGGATCGTGTATGAACAAACTACCAGATCATTATTTCGATTAGTTCCAAATATTATTTATATGCGATATACGTCATATTGTAGAAACATAAATTATAAATTGAAGATATATTGCGTTTTCCTTATACTCAATTAAAAATACATATAGATTTCTAGAAGAAAAAGCCAGATAATATCAGATCGAAGTAAAGTAAAGTTACAGCGACATTAATGAATAAAATATTTTGTAATGAATGTGCGCGTACGAAGTATCAAAATTTCATACGTTTGAATTCTCATTCTTGAATTCTGTTTACAGCCTATATCATAATATATACATATAAGATTGGGTGGATACAAGATTCTACGAAGTTGTTATTTCGCAAAAAACATCGCTTCATAAGTTATTATGGTAATAATAGCATTTATCGAAAAAAATTCAGGGTAGTACTATAGATACTCCGGAGTTCTCAAGTTAATTCAACAATGACAATTTTCCATAATTAATATCTCGAAGGAATATTAGATATCGAGGTGCATACAAAACTTTACATTGTTTCGTGTTGTAGTTGACCACGACTATGCGTATTCAGATTAAAGTTGATAGTGTACTTTTTGGCCAGGAAAACTTTCATTTATTGTGAGGCTATTTAAGGACTTTAAAAATGAGCGTGATGAAATTTACACTGACGATTCTCGCAATCGCTGGATGCTGGCGACCATTCTCGTGGACATCATTGATTAAACATGCACTGTATAACGCTTACACATTATTGATAATAAGCTTCTTATACAGCTTTACATTCACGCAATTTATGGATCTTATTCTAAATGTTGACAATCCTGACGATTTCACCAGCACTCTATTCACGATGTTGACTATGTGTGTTTCGTGTTATAAAATATTCAGTATGTGGATGAATCACGAAAATATCGCAACATTAATTCAAGCTCTTACGATGGGTTTATTTAAACCAGTGGTACCTGTCGAAATCGAAATTCAACGAAAATTTGACAAAATGATACAGTAAGCACACAAACACATGTTATTTAATCTTTAATGTGCTAAAAACTAATGACATTCTATAGATGTAATAATAATAATGTTAATTATAATTTTGAACATGAAATGTACAGTATTTTAAACTTGCCATAAATCAGTTTTTTGAAATATTCCTTGATAGATTCAAAATGCGTTCTGAATATAATAAAACTTTGTTAGGTTATTGAATACTTTTTGTATCTATGAGATCAAATTGTTTATATTTTGTGTATATATTACGTGCTTGAAATATAAAAATTTTATGGTGACAGTTCTGTTTTTATACATATCGTAAAATTTTATCGTGCTAGCAAGAAACAGAGAAAAGTGAACAAAACTAGATTATATTCCTTGTTATTTTCAGAACTTATGCAATGTGCTATACTATCATGATCATAATATCGTGCGCAGGTAATATCTTGATATCATTATTGACAAATTTTAAAGAGAGGAAATTAACATTTAGAGAATGGGTACCGTACGATTATTCGTCGTATGTGATATTTTGTCTCACATACACTCATCAATACTTAGGCATCATCGCCTCATGTTTCGTTAATATTTCTTGTGACAGTCTTATTATCGGTCTATTACTACATTTGTGCTGTCAGCTAACCATCTTAAAATATCGCTTAAAAAATATCACAAATGATCAAAGCATTTTACGCGAGTGTGTACGTCACCATCATCATATAATTGAGTTAGTCCTCGTAAGAATTTTATAAAACTTATATAATAATGAGATATTTTAATAATTAATTCTGTACTCTACAATATATTTTAAAATATATGTTTTCGTTTATTTAAAATACTTTTTGTTAATTTTTAATAGCTATTGTATAAAATTTCTGTTATATTCATAATATAAATCATATAATTTTCATAATTTATTGTGTGCAATTTCAGACCCTTTATCTTAACTTCTTCATTTTTGATTTTCAAAATTAAATGTGATAATCGTTTTTGTCTTTTTATCTTCCGGTTACAATTAATTGTAGAAAAATTTTGTCTGCAGATACGCACACGCGACTAACGCGAGATTTAGCAAAATAATTGCATTTCAATTTTTAGTCAGTACATTCGTAGTGTGTTCAAGTTTATACCAAATAACCAAAATGGTATTAAGCGCATATCAAATTTCATTAATTACATATGTGCTTTGCATACTTGCACAAATTTTTATTTACTGCTGGTTTGGAAATAAACTCAAGTTGACGGTACGTATATTCAATATTACTAAACGCGTTATATATAACTAAATCTTTATTAAATAAATTTTTATTAAAAAAAAAACAACTTAGAATTAAAAGATCTCACAGATATATGTATATTAAAAGTTAATTTAATAAATTGAATAAATTTATAGAGCATTCAGCTGGTCAATAGTATCTTCGAAATCGAATGGATAACATTAGATAATAAAATCAAAAAAAGCCTCTTGATAATTATGAATCGCGCAATAATACCTATTGAATTTATCAGTGCATATCTACTTAATGTGAATCTTGATTCTTTTGTTGGGGTTAGTATTAAATGGAGGATAATACTATCTAACTATCGCGCATCTAACTTTTCTAACTATTAGGTTCTTTTTATTTTTTTCTGTTGTATTTTCATTAGTGTTTTTTCTGAGGAATAAAAAAAGAAAGATAGAAAATAAAGGAAGATTTATAGCTTATATTAAATAAAATTTAAAATGCCATATTAGATAATTTTGTATCACAATATATTACCATGAGCAACATTTATCATCAAAAATCATAAAAAATTGCTTTATATATTTACTTACGAATTTTGTAGATTTTTATAAATATTTTATGTGTGACTTTTGATATACTTATGATTATTTTTACAGTTGCTCAAAACATCGTATTCTGCTTATAATTTATTAATACAAATACAAGAATAGTATAAACTGCAAATTGCTTTTAGTAATAATTTATATATAATTTGTTAAATCTACTAATAATATATGTACAGATATGCACATAGATATTGTTTTAATAAACATTTTAAAAAAATAATCAAACTTCTCTATATTACAATCAAATATAACAGTGTTTGACATTAAGTATTTGGGAGTATTAAGAATTATGCCCATTTATTTTTCATTTGATGCACAAAAGTATATCACAATATAAAATACTCACATATAGCATTCACATTTTTTCAATATATTTTATCTTTTTATTTTTTTTAATACAGAATGTTTAGAAGAGAAACGTAAAAGAATCATTATTGATTAAAAAAGTCAAAAGTGTAGTTAGATTATTATACTTGCAAGAAACATAACATCATAATAAGTTGGATATTATTAAATCTCACTTTTTTTCTTTATCATTTTTTGTAGTAGTACCATCATAAGAGAAATATAATCTGTTTATATTATAAGGCATGAATTGTTTTATACATTTTACTTTTGCCCGTTTTAAATACGTATCTCTTACATGATTTTTTTCTTTCCTTTATTTTGCGTAAGAACGGACGGTGACCGTGTCGAGATAGAGATAATAATAAATGAAATATTTCGTTATCAATATATCGTGAAACAATATATGTTATAGAGATAATTCGTATCTCGTGTTTTATTGATTAAGTATTTTTCTTCGAAAAATTCTTCTTTTATTTCTACTGTATTATAATTTCCTTTTTTTATGTAAATGTTATATGAAAATAGTACATAAATCTTACATATATCTTACATATATCTTATATATAAAATAGTTCTTTAAGCTAATTGACGTCAACTATCTTAAAGACAATTACTGTAGATATTATGAAAGGTATATATAGATACTAAATATGTAGGGGAGAAAATATAGTTGACAAGAAAATTGCTGTTTCAGTTAGAGAATAACATCATAAGTCTATAGACAATCCTAAATCTCTTTTGAGATTAAGCTGATCTTACTTTCCATGTGATAGAAATTCTATCAGCTTAAAAAAATTTATTTTAAATGATAAATATATTGCTTAAAAATTACCAGAATTACACAGATACTATCAAAATTTATAATACATGTTTCTCAATTTGATACGATTGTGTATATCTCTTAATTAAATTAAAATTGAAAATGCAAGTTCTGAAATTGACATGTGCAATTGTTATGATCGCTGGATGTTTTCGACCGCTATCGTGGACATCTTTGTTTAAACGAACAGTTTATAATATCTACAGATTATATGTAATTAGTATGCTATCTTTTTTTGTAATATGTCAATTTATGGACATTGTTTTCAACGTTGACAATACTGATGATTTTATTGATACTTTGAATATGATGTTAACATCATCTGCTGCATGTTATAAAATATTTATCGTATGGTTTAACTATGAGAGAATTTCAACTTTAATTAATTATCTTACTAAAGAACCGTTCAAGCCATTGGATCCATGTGAAATGGAAATACGACAGCGATATGATAGAATGATACGGTAAATATATTTTAATTAAGGAATAATATTTAATTTCTTATTTAATATATTTCATATTTTAAATTATTTTGTTTTAATTGTAATTGTCTTTAAAAATATTTATGTTTATAGCTCAATTTTTTCAAGATTTATCTTATTAATTAAAATTTAAGACATATGAGAGAACAAATAGATATTTTAAAAAGTATATGTAAATGACAAATATATAAATGATATCTCCTCTAGTTTAGAATAAAATAAAAGTTTAATTAGCAAATCACAAAATTTCTATTAAAAATAATACTGATTTAACAATCTTTTCAACTTTCTAGAAATAATACATTACGTTATACACTCTTGATTGAAACGACATGCTTCTTCATCGCTTTAACATCATTGTTCACTGACTTTAGACATAGAAGATTAACATATAGGGAATGGGTACCGTATGATTATTCATCTTTCTTGACATTTTGTTTTACATATGCTCAGCAAATGTCAAGTACTATACACACCGCTACCGTAAATGTCGCTTGTGATACTCTGATATGTGGTTTCTTAATGCATGTGTGTTGCCAGATCGCAATCTTAGAACATCGCCTGAAGAAACTTACCAAAAGCGAAATTACTCTGGGCTATTGCATACGCCATCACGATTGGATTTATAAGTTAGTTATTATATTAAAAGCCGGAAAATGAGATTATTAATTAGAGTTCTTATTATTTATGCATTATTGAATAATATTATGATAAAAATTATGTTTTTTATCATACCTACATATTTTTTGTGCTATAATTATGAAAGTAAAGATATAAAAATTGTATATAATATCAAAACATATCGACTTCTATTATTATTATTTATTATATAATTTTACTAACGCTTTATTAATGCGCTAATTTTTCCCTTAATCTGTTTGACATTTTATAATTTTATTCGTAATTCGGAAAATTGCAATAAATAATAAAATTTACCTATAAATTTAATTATAATACAAATTTTAGTAGCTTAATAAGAATAACACAACATTTTAAAAATAAAAATGGATTACAGGTTTGCGCAATTGGTGAATACAAGGTTTACACATATAATTGGATTTCAGTTCACGATGAGCATGATGGTAATTTGTTCCAATTTGTATCAACTGACTAAGTCGCCTTTGGACGCAGACCATATTCCATTAGTTATGTACACATCCTGCATGTTAACGCAGATATTTATCTATTGCTGGTTTGGAAACAAACTCAAAATAAAGGTATATCTAGTAAAATAAAGATTGCTAAAAATATATAAGAATATATACAAAATATTTCATATATTTTTGTCTAGAGTATCCAAATTGCGGATAAAATTTTCCAAATAAATTGGTTAATTTTGGATAATAATGTTAAAAAGAGTCTCTTGATAATGATGCAACGTTCGACAATACCCATTGAAATTTGTACTGCATATATTATTACATTGAATTTGGAATCTTTTGTGGCGGTTAGTATAGAAAATTCATCTTAATGTATAGCCTAATTGATTAATAAAGTTCTACTGTTTATTTCTTATTTATTTAAATAATAAAGAAAATTGTTTTAGTAAATTTAATTTAAATATAAAATAAATAAGTTTTGTAAATGTATTTATGTAAATGTATTTATATAAATAAATTACTTGACTTATTTATAAATGTAAACGTATTTATAATAATTCTATATAATTTTTATCATTTTAGTTACTCAAAACATCGTATTCCGCTTGTAACTTATTGATACAGACATAAGAAGAAAAATAAGAATAAAAACGAAAGTAAAATAAATTTTTTTAATTTACTTTACTATATAATTTTTCTAGTAACGTATAATTGTGAAGAAATTGTAATGTTTTAATAATAATAATTATAAAAATGTTATTGATAATCCTAATGTATTCAATATAAATATATACATATCTCTAGCTATTAATATATATGCATATAATAATTGTTTCCGAAAATATATGTGTATGTATATTTTTTAACACTTGTTTATATTATAAAAATATTTTTATATATACATACTATAAGTTTAATATCAACGCGCTCAATTACCAATACATGATATATATTCCGACATATAAATTTTCTGATGACAAAACATAAAATATAAATATAACGTAAATATTTCAAAAATCATATTCATGATTTTACTTTAACACTTTTATAAGTAAAATGATTAAGGAAAATTTTGGAAAAAGAAGTTATACAATACTATTTATATTTTAAGAAATGCATCTTTCTCTTTTTTAATTTTCTTATCGCATGTTTATAATGTAATATCAAAGAGAGTTAAAAATTGTTGTCTTTTAACTTCTATCTACTTGATAGTAATTTTATAAGTACATACGTATTTGATGCGATTTTTCTTTCTCTTGCTTATGTAAATTGTCAATACTGGATAGTACATCTACTTTTACTCCCGATTGCTGCTAACCTACGACTGTTAGGTAACAATAGGCAATAATAAATAATATATTTTCATCGATATACGTATCAAAAGATGATATACATTAAGAAATTATGAAAGTGTGTATTTTATATTCTATTGATAAATCTATGAAAATTTTATTTTTTCTTGTTGCTGTTTCATATTCTCGATTTCAGTGTTGAACGTAACATATGAGAGATTACATTTCTGGTATGTAATAAAAATTGCATGTATAATATAGTCCTCTCTGCTAATTCGTCTAAGAATTGGCTCGGAAACAATTACTATAGATATGTATATCATAAAGATATTAGATATAGAAGAGAAAAAAAGAAATATCGTTGATAAAAAATACTTTCATTATTTCCTTAGGATTGTCACAAGTTTGTAGACTCTTGTGAAAGAATGTTACTTTTCTTATTTCACTCTTTTCATAGGATAAAGATTTTATCAAACTAAAGTAATCTGGAAAACAGTAAATATCTTTAAACATTTTTTAAATTACTTAAATAAAATTTATAATATGTTATATAAACAAATGCAATGTATATATCTTTTCTTTAATTAAAAATGCACATTCTAAACTTGACATTTTTTATTGTTACGTTCGTGGGATGCTTTCGACCGCCATCATGGACATCATTATTTAAACGTGTTATTTACACTCTCTATAGATTATTCATAATTATCATTTTATATACTTTTGCATTTTTACAATTTATGGACATTGTTCTGAATGTTAATAATCCTGACGATTTCACTAACAATCTGTACATGATGTTAAATGTATCCGTTTCGGGATATAAGTTATTAATTATGTGGATTAATTATACAAACATTGCAACATTAATCAATAAATTTAGTGAAGAGCCATTTAAACCACTGGATTCAGGCGAGCTGGAAATTTACCGGAAATTTGACAAATTAATACGGTTTGATCTCTAAGTATAATATTCAAATTTTTAATCAATAATAATTTCTTTTAAATCTGTATTTTAATTAAGTTGCAAATGGCATTATATTTAAAAAAAATATTTTGTCCATATTTAATTGTGTGTGTATGATTAATTTAATTTAATTTCATTTAATTTCAAAATTTAACTTTATTGATCAAAATTTAAAATGCTACATATGTGATTACAAGTGGAAATTTTTAAATTATTTTATAAAAGCGTACGCTATATTCAATTTATAATTAAATAAATAAAATATTAATCAATAAAAAATATTCAATTAATAGTTTTACTATCAAATATTAAAAATCTTTTGTACAGAATATATATATCAAAAAATACTTCATATTAAAGCTTATTTAAAGATAACAAAAATAAATCTTTAATCACTTTTTTAGAATGAACACATTACGTTATACGCTCCTAATCGAGACATCATGGTCATGTTCTGGTTTGACATCGTTGCTTGCCGATTTCAGGCATAAAAAGTTAACATACAGAGAATGGGTACCATATGATTATTCATCTTACATGGTATTTTGTATCACGTATGCTCATCAGTTTCTAAGTACATTTTATTGCGCTACTGTGAATGTCGCTTGCGATACTCTCATATGTGGCCTCTTAATGCACGTGTGCTGCCAAATTGAGATCTTGGAATATCGTTTAAAAAAACTTGTGAAGAATCAAGATACTCTGAGCTACTGTGTACATCATCACAACAGTATATTTGAGTTAGTTATCCTAATAATAACTGTTGAAAAAAATATTCATTATTTTATTCAAGGTTTTCATGATATATTAATTGTCATATATTAATTGTTGGACGGAGAACAGCGATATAAATTAAATCTTATTTCTATAATTGTTGATAAGTAAAATCTAAGATTATCTTTCTTTTTGAATTAAAATGAATCATACTCCTTTGATCTAAAAGATATAACTTATTATTATCAACTTATATCATATCACTGTTTTACTAATAATTTTTGTATGGCAAAATGCGCATGCTTTTCGGTACAACTATTACAATAACAAAAATTGACATTATAAAAATAAATAAAAATTCTTTGTAGGTTTGCATATTTAGTAAATGCAAGATTCTCGCAAATAATTGGATTCCAGTTTATAACGAGTACATTAATAATATGTTCCAATCTATTTCAACTGAGCAAATCGTCATTGAGTGTAGATAACATTGCATTAATCATATATACATGTTGCATGTTGACACAAGTATTTATTTATTGCTGGTTCGGAAATAAAGTCAAATCAAAGGTATATTTAATAAAATTATGATTATATTTTAAAATTAAATTAAATATGTTATCATAACGCTATAATACTCTTTTACAATGCTCGTTATTAAGTCATGCAATATGAATAAACAGATTATAAATAGTATTATTAAGTATTTGTAATATAAATATATAATATCTTTTTTTGCATAATTATAATGCTCACACAAAGAAAAAATGTTGCATATTGATTTATAGAGCCTTCAATTAGCGGATAATGTTTTTCAAACGGAATGGCCAGTGCTAAGTAATAACGTTAAAAAAGATCTTCTTATAATTATGAAACGTGCGATAGTGCCTATCGAGTTCACTACTGCACATATCATTAGCTTGAATTTAGATTCTTTTGTAGCGGTTAGTACAAAAAATTCAATCATATTATGTGTTTGTGCACAATTATTTGATTAATAAAATGTCACTAATTTTATTCGTTTTGTTATTTTAGTTGCTTAAAACGTCATACTCTGCTTATAATTTATTAGTACGAGTGCAAGAAGAATAATGTATTATATATTCCTCTATTATATCTTAGATGTAGTTAATATTTTTGTTAATAAGTAATTTATAAACAAGTGCAATAAACTAATTATCGGTAATATAATTTTAACCTCTATAAAATCTTTATATCTATAGTAATTATCTACTAATATAACAAATTCTTATTAATATTATTTTATGATATAGTGCTTTAAAAATATGATTCCCGAAAAGATATGAAAAAAATGTTAGGTAAAAATGTTAGTATATCATACCATCTTGCTACCATTATATAAAAAATATATTTTTATCATCTATTACAAAAGACTATAAAAAATTGTTAAATAGTTTCAGTTTTAGCGTTATGCAAATTTTTATTTTAATTAAACATATATAACGAATTGACAATATTTGAATATTGAGTGCGAAAATTTGTATGAATCTCTTTCTCTCTCTCTCTCTCTCTCTCTCTCTCTCTCTCTTTTTCTCTCTCGCTTTATATATATATATATATATGTATATATATATATATATATATATATATATATACTTGCTTGACTGCATAAATTTATAATATAAGGAGATATAAAGACTCTAAATGCAATCCCTTTCTTCGATATTTCTCAATATATGTTAGTAGTTTACTTGAACAATCCGACAGATATAAGGGTCAATGTAATTCCTGCTTTCCGTTTACATTTCCACATGGAATAGCGACTATAGAAAAATCAATATATAAAACAAAGTGTACGATGATATACTATATTGTGATGATAGGACATAGACTGTATGATGACAAAAAAAATGTAGTATAACGAGTGTATAAGTACATTAAGATTTAATGAAAATGAATATGTTTTCATTATATAACATCCCCGAAAGATATGAAAAGGACTACGAAAAAATATTAGATGTTTCATACCATTTCCTTATCATTATATAAATGTAGACAATGACATTTTGTAATTGGTAAAAAATAAGGAAGCTATTCTAAAACTTTAAAAATAATTCACACAAATAATAATCTATCAATACATATATATGATATGTATCGGTCGAAAGACTTTTGTTTATCTATACAAATGTTTTTTCTATTATCTCTGCTACCACTACAAATAGAGCAATATCAGGTAATTTTGTAATAGAAATTTCATTTTGCAGCACAATTTGATTTATGTATGTATGTATCATTTTGTAAGAAGTGCATCGTATTGTCGCATGTTATTGCGATAATAATATAGTTGTCTTGTAGTAAATTCTGAAAAATGTTTCTCTCTGGAAATCAAGAGATAGTAGTTTCATAATAATTCTATTCTATTTCATGCGAAAAAGTTAAATTTTTCGAAGCAAACGAGAGTTGAACGAAAATTTTAAATTCAATGTAAGTTATATAGCAAAATGTTTTATATTTTAAAACAATATTGGTATAATATTATTGCAATAAAATAATTGCTTAATGCTTTTATTATTGTAAAATCTTTTTCTACAATATTTTATGTAATATTTGACATCATAAATAATTTTTAATAAAACATTAACGTTCCTAAAGAATAATTATATATAGCAAATAATTTAATTAGTAAATAATCATGTAAAATGAACACTATTTAAAAATATTATCGTACAATTTATAGATATTTTAATGATTTTTAAGATTTACAAATTATTATACTAATAATTAACAGATTACAATTATTATAAGATTTATATAAAAGGAAACTGCAAAAGAATTTTTATTACAAAATGCGTCCTATGCAATATACGCTCACAGTTCTCGCCGTCGCTGGTTGCTGGCAATCAGCGACATCGTTATTTAAATACATGATGTATAATGCTTACGCTATGTTAATTATTTTAATGTTATACACATTCTCAGTGTCGCAATTTATGGATCTTGTATTGAATGTTAGTAATTCTGGTGAATTTACTGAAACTTTATATCTACTGCTGATCGTGCTCATGGCGTGTTACAAAGCTATTATATATAATATGAATTGGCGTGTTACAAAACTATTATATATAATATGAATTTAAGTCATAAAAATGTTGCAATGATAATTGAATACCTTACTGAGAATCCTTTTGCACCGTTGGACAAAAATGAAAAAATAATTCGAGAGAAATTTGATAAGATGGTAGAGTAAGTATAAAATAAGATATTTCTGATATTTATAAGTTAATAAGAATTAATTAATTATATTTATTATAGCAAGAAATTAGTATTTTATATTCTATATTATTATACAACTTTTAAAATATTTAATATATATTGTATACTTTTCAGAAATAGATGTTGCATTCTTTTCAAACATATTTTATTTTATTTTAAAAAAATATATAATCTTTCTTCTCTTCTACAGAAAAAAATTTTAATTTAATGAAATATAAAAATATAAAAATCCTAATTAATATTTAGATATAGATAAACTAAATAGATTTGTAATTTTCTAGGAATAATACATTTTGATACTTGTCTTGCTGACTTGTGTGTACATCATTCTGCTCTCCTTATTTACGGAATTTAGAAAGGAAAACTTATCTTATAGAGCATGGCTACCATTCGATTACTCAATCTCTGCAATAATATATTATCTCACATACACTCACCAAATGATGAGCATGACTCTTAATGGTATCGTCAATCTTGCTTGCGACAGTTTTACTTGCGGCTTACTCTTACATGTTTCCTGTCAGATCGAAATTTTGGAGTATCGATTGTCAAAAATCGCGAATAATAAAAAAAATCTTCGCAATTGTGTATATCATCACAATTGCATATTTGAGTAAGTTTCTAAATATCTGTAGGTTCTGAAAGTCATCATTTTTTATTACTATTACATGATAGATATTTGAATGGTGATTTTCGAAACTGATTTTCACACACACACACACACACACACACACACACACACACACATACACACACACACACACACACACACACACACACACATACACACACATACATATATACATGCACTTATTATTACACACAAGAATTACACATATCTATTTTAAAGAATTTAAATTCTCTCTCTCTATTTCTTTCTCTCTTACCTTCTCTTTGTCTCTTTCTCTCTCTCTCTTAAATAAAAAAATAATAAATTTGCAAATTTTTAATTTTGATTAGCATTTAATAATCGAGCATTAATAATCCATTTAATAACAGCAATAATGAATTTCAAAAATAAGATCTTGAATTGAATAAATGTATCCTATATAATTGTAGGTACGCGTATGTAGTAAACAACAAATTTGCGAAAATAATCGCTATTCAATTTACAGTAAGCGCTTTGGTGGTGTGCTCGCATTTATATCATTTAGCTGTGACGTCATCCAGTACCAGATATATTCAATTTATAATGTGTATAGCTTACATGTTAGCAGCAGTATTTTACTAATATTGGTTTGGAAATTAAGTCAAGCTAAAGGTATTTTTTTAGCAATTTACACCTGTTTATTTATATTAACACTATTATATATGTATACCATAGTATAAGAAAAACTTTTCTTTAAAAAGAAATATTATTGAATTCTGTTATATATATATACATAAAATATAATAACTATATTTAATGTTTCATTATGTTTTCATCTAGAGCCTACAATTGTCGGACAGTATTTACAACATGGAATGATCGAGACTTAGCAATAGTACGAAGAAGGATCTTCTAATAATTATGAATCGATCTTTGATACCTATTGAATTTAATAGTGCTCATATCTAAGTAAATTTAGATTCCTTTGTAATGGTAAGAATCTTTCGTTATTGCATAATCATTAGTCACCTTTCGTAATAAATTCATCATTAAATATTGTGTAAATCGAATCAAGTTTTACCAAGACATTTGCACAATTTTTACAGATGCTTAAAATATCTTACTCGATCTTCAATTTATTAACACAAACGCAAGATTAATAAAGAATTGGAAATAATTAATCATAATTTAATTTGAAAATTTCATATATGTAAATGTATAATTATAACATTAAATAACAAAAAAATAAGTTAATTGATAATATCCCTCGCATTACAAAACATAAATCTGCAGAGAAGATTAAAATATCTTTTATTTATCTTCTTTATGTTCAACGAGTGGTAAATTCAAGAATCAATAAGCCCCCAATAACATCCTAACATCATAGATAATACGACAAAAAAAAAATAATAGCAGCAGCTTATAACCGGGTCTACGGTCTAGCTAAAGGTCTGTCTAAAGGTTTTACACAAATATATATTACAACTGTTGATTCATTAACATTTGAGAAATACATTTTTTCGTACATTTATAGCTTAGCTACGAAGCAACATTGCAAATAAATAAAATATTTTATAATGGACATACAAAGCACAATAAAACTGGATCTAAGTATCTTGGAAATAGTTAGAGAATACTAATCTATTAATGAGCATTTCAAGAATTCATTTTCTGTATACTTGATTATATATCAAGTTCCTCTTCTTCTTTTTTATATTTTTTCTCCGTAAAATTAACGGTAAATTATGCAGTTTTGTAATATAAATTAGAAAGGATATAACTTTTCAATTTATCAGAATATTATTTCACGAGAAACATGGTTACAAGTCTGTCAATATTGATAATAATAAAGATACTTTATAAAGAAAGGGAAATATCGAATGAATAATATCATTATCAAGTTGAGACAGTATAGACGATAGTAGATTATTTCTTCTTCACATCATTCTACTTGTCTCAGCGAATATTTAATCAAATCTTTCAACAGATTATTCAAACAAATCAATCGTAACATTTTCGTAAGTTTAATATACAGAAAAAGAGTGGAATACATTTTGAATGCATATTATAATAAAAATAATATATGTAATATTCTTTTCATTATTCTCATTAATTAATTTAACAAATAATTTCACATTTGATTATTAGAACATATTATATATAGGTAGCGGAAACTAATTTCCAATTATTTATAAAAATAAACAATTACTATACAATTAATATATATAAGAATATTAATAAGAATAATAATATATATAAGAATATATAAGAATATTTCTTATAACAATAAGTATAATTAATAGTATAGTAATTATAAAAGTATTTCGTAATCATCTACGCATTTTTCCCCATTGATCTATCATTGTGTGCAGTATATTATTAAATAATAATAATCAAAATTTAATAAAGAAGTCAATATTTCAATCGACACAGTTATTGATGTTGGGCAAATGGATGTTGGAAAGTAATGTTGGGAGGAAAAGCGAAATGTCTGTGTTGAAATTTTCGCTCACGGTTTTAGCGGTCGCAGGATGCTGGCGACCAACATCGTGGACATCGCTGTTTAAGACCATAATGTATAACACTTACTCATTATCAGTGATTTTAACACTATATACATTTGCAATCACTCAAATTATGGAGCTTATATTAAACGCCGACGACGCTGATGCATTCGGCGACGCCTTATTCAATGTTATAACTTCGCTTTTGGCATGTTACAAAGCAATTGTTATACAAAAAAGTCATGAGAGTATTATAACGTTAATTAATAACCTGGCCGAAACGCCATTTAAACCGTTAGATCTAAACGAAAATATGATTCAAGAGAAATTTAACAAAAGAATAACGTAAGTATCATATTTAATATTTTTTATATACTTAATAAAATATGCTATGTATAATAAGATTACAATATATTAATTATGTAAGTAATAAAATTATTCCATTTATGTAATGTAAGCAATGTAATTTAAAGAAAAAGACTTTTAATGTCTCTTTAATAATAATTTTTGAAACAAACATTATAATTCTAATTTTATAGGAATAATACATTATGTTATCTAGTCCTCATTCTCATAACCAACTTGTACATGATTTTACTTTCGTTATTCACGGATTTCAAAAATGGAACATTAATGTACAAAGCATGGATACCATTTAACTACTCAATGTCCGCGCTATTCTATCCCGTATACATTCATCAGCTAATCACTTTAATGTTTAGCGGTCTCGTTCATTCTACCTGTGACAGTATTATTTGTGGATTGTTATTACACATTTGTTGCCAAATTGAGATTTTAGAATATCGTTTATCAAACATTATGAATGCTCGAGAAAACTTGCGCGATTGCGTACATCATCATATACATATATTTGAGTAAGTTCTCTTAAACCTAGTACGCTATCTACATACATCTCTGAGGTCATATATATATATATATATATATATATATATATATATATTATTAGATTTTTCTATTAATTTAATACAAATCGGAAAAATGTTTATTTGCCAGTGAGGAAGAAAAAAATAAAAATATTTTTGCTGCTTAAAAATCAGTTCTTCTGTTTTAGAGTTATTTAACATTCATATATACAAAATTGAAAATAGATACTAAAGTACTAAGTTAATTTAAAGCATTATTTTGCTCAATTTTTTCTCATTTTTTTTAGATATACACACAGACACATTAAAGACATATATGCTCACATAATTATCAAAAAAGAATTAAAATTTTCATCAATTTGATTATTTATTATTTTGTATATATTTATTCAAATATTTTTTAGAAGCTGTAAAAGTAGCTGTAATGTTATATTCTAAAAATAATATATTAATTTTTAATGATGTATTTATATATTAAAAATTTCATATAAAAATATTTAATATAAAATTAATATTAAAAATTACATAATTATTAATATTAATTATTAGTATTAATTATTAATATTAATTATTAATACTAAAAAATATTAATTATTTATACTAAAAAATATTTAATATTAAAGTTTTCTATGTAAATCAAAATATGAGATTCTTATCTTAATCTTTAAAGTTATAATACCACCTAAGATATTTTTCAAAAAGAAGTAATATATTTTCCTGAATTGTTATTTGTTTAAATATATTGAATCTGTCAAAATTCTATCGATTAATAATATTCTGTTTAATTTTAGATACTCATATATGATGAATGAAAATTTTGCCAGAATAGTTCCTAGTGAATTTCTAATGATTACAATAGTAATGTGCTACAATTTGATTCATATGGCTGCCACATCGACCACTACCGCTTCTTATGTACAAAATCTCATGGTTATATGTTGCACATTGGCACCAATTTTTTACTACTGTTGGTTTGGCAATGAAGTTAAACTGAAGGTAGCTTGTTATTAATTTTAATTTTATAGCCAATAATCAGTTTACGAGAACATAATTTCTCTTTTTAAACAGCAAAACATTTGTTTCTCTTTTTCATTCTATCTTAATATAATATACAATGTACATAATATATATATATATATATATATATATATATATATATATATTATGATTATCTATATTACGATTATATAAAATTATATTTACAGAGCCTGCAATTATCGGATAATATTTATAATACAGAATGGACAATACTTAACAACAACGTGAAGAAAGGTCTTTTAATGATTATGAATCGTGCGACGATACCAATCGAATTTACCAGCGCAAACATTATATCAATGAATCTTGAATCATTCGTGATGGTTCGTATAAGAAAATCTTATTCCATGTAATAAACATTTAATTTGCTCATTGATTATATAATTATTTAGGTGCTCAAGACATCATATTCGCTTTTTAATGTATTGATAAAATCGCAGAAACAATAATAAGTAATACAAAACTAGAGCAATTGTTATTTATATTTAATTTGTTACATTCATATAATTGATGTATAATTACGTGAATTACGTTGAATTACGTGAATTACGTTGAAAATAAGAATAGTTTATTAATTAATTGCCAATGAAACATTTTTGAAAAGATATATCACAAAGTTGTTAAGATATATAACAAAAAATAAAAAATAATAAGTTGGAACGATAAAAAAAATCAAAATACAAAATTATAAAGAATGATATACAGGGTTTCCGCAACATACTCATCATTAAATCGGGTTGCCTATCTGACCACTCAGGGACATGCTTTACTGGGCTTGCAGAATAAGATTAAAATGGGAATAAGGAAAAAGAAATCTGTTTTTATCAATCTATTATAATGAACAATTGTGAAATGTAATAATATAAATAAAATATTTATCTAATAATAAATAAAATAATAATAGATAAAGTAACATAAATAAAATTTAATAAACAAATTTGAACAAATATAATGAAAAATACTTATAATAAAAATATATTATAAATAATATATTATAAATACTTAATAAAAAATATATTATAAAAATATATTATATATTTATATATTTGATTTTTAAATATAATAAATTATAAAAACTCGATATAATTACTATTTTCTTCTAAACAGAGCAATCCTGCTGAAAATATCTCTCACTTGTTTTATCAGAAGAGTGATCTCTGCTCATGATCTTATGTCCTATGGACATTTTTTTATGTAGAACATCTTAAAAAATAAAATATATCACACCTTGCCGGAAAATGCAGAAATTCTTAAAAACAGAATTCGTAACGCATGTGCGGAGATCACTTCTCTCATGATAAATCGCATGAAAGAAAATTTCATGCGTAGAATTGCTTTATGTTTAGAAGAAGATGGTGGTTATATTGAACATTTATTATAATTTATTACATTTAAAGATCAAAAATATTTGTCATTATAAGTATATTTTATTATATTTGAATATTATATTTTTTACTATATTTGTTCAAATTTATTTATTAAATTTACGTTATTAATATATAATTAATATATATTAATATCTATTATTAAATATTATAATTAAATGTTATAATGTGTTATTAGATAAATTTGTTAATTTATTAGAATTGAATATTTTATATATATTATGATTATCTATATTATTAAAAATATATTACATATAAATATATAATATATATTATTAAATATATATTTTATCTATATTATTAAATTTCGCAATTGTTTACTATAATAAAATGATAAGATTTCCTTACTTCCCGTTGAACTCGCATTTTAATCTTATTCAGTGAATCTAATAAAGTATGCCCCTGACGATAAGCATCCCGACTTAATGATGTGTTGCGGAAACACCCTGTACAAATGATATGTATATAGAATTACTGTGCATGTATTTTCAATGTTACATTTTGTCATTTTATTTTCTTTGATATATAATGTTGAACAATATGTATGTATATAATTTAAAAATTTATTCATTAACAATATTATGTTACAAAACGATCATTTATTATTTTAAAATGCAGTGTATTTTAAATTTTTATCTAATATGAATTTATGCATTATATTTTCGATGTGTCTGATACTTTTCAAAAAATGAGATTTAGTATTATCACATAATGTTGAGAACCATTTTTGTCATTTTATTTTTCAAAAAAATGTTTGAGCAGGAATCGTCGATTTAAACAAATATGTAAATATGAATAAAATATGTGAATAAATCACAACGTATATTGCAACGTATATTGCAACGTATATTGCAACGTATATCAATGGACACCATTATAAGAGAGTCTCTTTTTATGAATATTTTAATAATAATATAAATACTTTATACGAAAGGAGAAGATCAAGATTATCATTAGAAAGTTTGATTGTATATGCATATTTTGAAATAAGATATCTCTAACTTTCGTCATGTAACACATGATAATAATTTAGCTAGATTTTATGATGTATGTTCATAATATGAAATGAATAACGGGATTGAATATATAACGCTTACGCAATATTAATAATTTTAATATTCTACATATTTTCAATGTCTTTATTGAAATATTGAGAATGTGCATAACATTAAAATTATTTTTTTTTATGGATCTTGTATTAAATAATTCTAACAAATTTACTAAAATTTACTTATTAGCTATCTTGTAACAATAAATTGATCATTGAGTATAAATCTGTATAAAATTGCAGAAATCTGGAAAAAGCTTCACTATCTGCTTCACAATATTTATAGATGTTTAGAATATTTCACTCGATTTTCTATTTATAAACACAAATGAAGGATTAATAAAGAAGTGGAAATAATTAATCTTTCATAATTTAATTTGGTAAATTTATATATGTAAATATATAATTATAATATTGAACGGCAAAAAAACCCGTTAATCGATAATATTTCTCACATTAAGATATAAATTTACAGAAAAATTTAAAATACCTTTTCTTCATCTTTTTTATGTTCAAAAAGAGATAGATTTAAGAATCAATAAGTTCTAATAGTTCTTCATCCCAATATCATAAGTAGTATGACAAAAGAAAATAATGGGAACAGTTTATAGCCGAGTCTAGGGACTAGCTATGTACAAAGATTTTACACAGATATATACTACAATTGTTGATTCGTTAACATTTGAGAAATACATTTTTTTATACATTTGTAGCGTTTCGACAAAATAATATTGAATAAATAAAATATTTTATAATGAACATGCAACACATAACAGAGCTAAATCTAAATATGTAAGTATCTTGGAAATAGTTCGAGGCTACTAATCTATTAATGACCATTTCAAGAATTTATTTCCTGCATACTTGACTATATATCAAGTTTCTCTTCTTTTTTCTTATCCCATTTTCTCCGCGAAAATAACGGTACATTATGCAGTTTTGTAATAAAGATATTATTTCGAAAGAAATCTTCGAAAGAAGACATCCCGATTCATTAGAATGTTCATTTCATGAGAAATATAGTTACAAGTCTGTCATAGATCGTAACAAAGATATTTGTACGAAGAAAAAGAAGTCGAACGAATAATATAATTAATATCAAATCGGAAGACTATAGATGTTAGTAGATTATTCTCTCATCATTTGATTTGTCACAGCAAACATTTATTTAAATCTTTCAAAGTATTTAACACACTATTCAAATAAATCGATCGAAATAATTTTGTAAGTTTATATAGAAAAAGAAAAATATTTTAAATATATACTATGACAAAAATTAAATACAATGCGATATTTTTTTTATTATTCTGATTATTATTGATTATTGTTAAATAGTTTTGTATTTAATTATTGATTAGTTTTTTATTTCCATATTATATGTAGAAATAAAATTAATTGCCAATTATTTATAAAAATGAATAATTATAAAAATACTTCTTATAACTACTATTATAAATACGATTCGTTATAAAAATACGATTAGTTATAAAAATATTTTGTAATCATCATACACATTTTCCTTTATTCTCATTAATCTATCATCGCGATATATTATCAGTTAATAATAATCAAAATTTATAGTAAATAAGTCAATATTTCAATCAACAATTATTGATGTTGGGCAAATGGATGTTGGGAAGTAATGTTGTGAGGAAAAGCGAAATGCCTGTGTTGAAATTTTCGCTCACGGTTTTAGCGGTCGCAGGATGCTGGCGACCAACATCGTGGACGTCGCTGTCTAGAAACATAATGTATAATGCTTATACATTATCAGTAATTCTAATACTATATACATTTGCAATTACTCAAATTATGGAGCTCATATTAAACGCCGACGATGCTGATACATTCGGCGACGCTCTGTTCAATATTATAATTTCGCTTTTGGCGTGTTACAAGACAATTGTTATACGAAAAAGTCATGGAAGTATTATAACGTTAATTAATAATCTAACCGAAACGCCATTTAAACCATTGGATCTGAACGAAAATATGATTCAAGAAAAATTTAACAAAAGAATAACGTAAGTATTTAACATTTCGTATTTAACATTTTATTATTATATATAAACATATATGTCTTAAAAATATATTAAATTAAAATGTAAATTAAATTAAAATATATGCAATTAAGAGAGATTGCATATGTGTATTGTAAGCAATTTAATTCATCTCTGCGGAAAAAAGAATTTTAATATCTCTTTAATAATAATTTTTGAAAAAAGTAAACATCGTAGTCCTGCTTTTATAGGAATAATACATTATATTATTTAGTCCTCGTCCTCGTAACCAGTTTCTATCTGATTTTGCTTTCGTTATTTACGGATTTCAAGAATGGAACGTTATTGTACAAAGCATGGATACCGTTTGACTACACAATTTCCGCGCTATTCTATCCCGTATACATTCATCAGATATTGACTTTAATATTTATCGGTCTTGTTCATCCTACATGTGACAGTTTTATTTGCGGATTATTATTACACATTTGCTGCCAAATCGAGATTTTAGAATATCGCTTATCAAACATTGTGAATGCTCAAGAAAGCTTGCGCGATTGCATACATCACCACATACGTATATTTGAGTAAGTCTTCATAAACTTAGTATATTATACTATCTATCGTGTACATCTCTGAAATAATATATATATCTTATTGGAATTTTCTATTAATGACTACTACTAACAAATCAGGAAAAAGTTTACTTATCAATGAGGAAGAAAGAAGTAAAAATATTTTTGGTTTTTAAAAATCAGATTTTCTGTTTTAGAGTTACTTAATATCCATACATGCAAAATTGAAATTAATTAATATATTCGATTCATTTTTTTGGACAACTTTTTTGGATTTTTCTCATTTTCCTCACATACATATGCCTCAAAATATAGTTATAAATAATTCAAAAAGTTAGCATTTCAAGCAATTTTATTATTTTATATTCCGTTTTACTTAAAACTTTTTTTAGAAGCTAAAATATGTAATGCTGGATTGTAATAATAATAATATATTAATAATATATTAATTTTTAATGTCATATTTTAAATGTCAATTTTTAATGTTATATATTAAAAGTTTCATATTAAAAATGAAATGTTTGTTTAAATTATTTTATGTTTTTCTGTGCAAAACAATGTAAAATATGATGTGCGTGTGTGTGTGTCTGTGTATGTATCTTTGTATTAATCTTTAAAAGTTACAAAATTTACTAACATTTTTTTCCAAGCAAAAACTAATATATTTCTAATAGTGGTATATCGTTATTATAATAAATAGTAGTATATCGTTATTAAAAAATAATATATGTTTCATACGTTTGATTTGCTTAAACATATTGTATCACAATTTATATTGATTTAAAATGTTTTGAAAAGTTGATATATAAGTATAATCTATTAAAACTATTTTAATTTTAGATACTCATATATGGTGAATGAAAATTTTGCTAGAATAGTTCCTAGCGAGTTTATAATGATCACAGTGGTAATGTGCTACAATTTGATTCATATGGCTTTAACATCATCCACTATCATTTCTTATATACAAAATCTCATGATTATATCGTGTACACTGGCACCAATTTTTTATTACTGTTGGTTTGGCAATGAAGTTAAACTGAAGGTAGCTTACTAATTTTAAATTTATAGCCAATAACGTTTGCAAGAACAATTTAAACAGAAAAACACATTATTCCTTCTTTCTCTCTCTTTCTATTTTAATATATATTCATATATATGTATATATTGATATATTGATATATTGATATGTACGATTTTATCATATATACAATTTACAGAGCCTGCAATTATCGGATAATATTTATAACATAGAATGGACAATACTTAACAACAATATGAGAAAAGGTCTTTTAATGATTATGAATCGTGCGACGATACCAATCGAATTTAGTAGCGCAAATATTATGTCAATGAATCTTGAATCATTCGTGATGGTTTGTATGAGAAAATTTTTTTGCAAGTAATAAACATTTAATTTGCTCATTGATTATATAATTATTTAGGTGCTCAAGACATCATACTCGCTTTTTAATGTACTAATAAAATCGCAGAAACAATAATATGTAACAGAAAATTAAAAATATACTGTTATGTATATTTAATCTATTATTTTCATATTTTGATTGTTGTTTGAAAATAATAGTAATTTATTAATTAATTATTTATAATGAGACATTTTTTAGTAAATATATCACAAAATTGTTGAGATGTATTAAATAAAAAGTAATAAGTAGAAACAGTAAGTCAAACTAAGATTATACAAAATGCATGTCTATGAGAGAATATATTCGAATATATAAATAGAGAATTACTGCAAATATATTATTGATGTTGCATTTTAATATATTTCTCTCTATATAATATTGATCAAAAGTTACAGCTTAATATATACTCATTAATATTATGTTATAAAATGGTATTGTATTTAACTAATTTAATACAGTATTTAAATTTTTAATATAAACTTACGCTTTATTTTCGATGTATGTTTCAAGGAACGAGATTTAGTATTTTCATTATTGAATTTTATAATGTTGAATTATTTCTATAATTTTATTTTTTAAAAGATTGTTTTAGCAGAAATCATTGATTGAAACATATATGCAAATATGAATAAAATATTACATGTGGCTAAATCACAATATATTATTGCATAATGGATATTATAAGAATCTCTCTAATATTTCAATAATATTGTGAATACTTTATATAAAAGGAGAAGAACATCATCAGAAAAGGATATCAAGCATATACATACCTTCAAATAAGATATTTCTAACTTTCGTCGCGTGATAACAATTTAGCTAGGTTTCATGATGTATAATATTATGCTTAAATAACGCGACTAAAAAATTTGCAAGTCCAACATGTGTTATATGTTAAAAAACGGATATTTAAAAACAACGTTACATTATATATTCCAATATCTATGAAAATCAAACAATCGGAACGTGTATGTTCGATTTTTTTATTCATGAACATCAAGAGTAATGTTTCATTATATGAAGGTAGACTAATCGCAATGATAAGAAATCTCATGATATTGTACATCACCAGATGATAGATTTCATTCATTCACTGTTAATTATTTTATCTTAGGATTACTATTGGATTTACAACGATATTCCAGTTGATTATTCAAGATCACTAATGAGTTATATACCAGATGTGATTGTATTCATCATCACATTCTAATAAAATATAATAGTAAATTTTATAAGCCCAACTTCAGCTGAAAATAACTTTTATATCGAGTTATAAAGTATATCCGCTTTGCCTTCCACTTGATAAAAATATTACTCACCCCATCGCGTGTGACAAAAATGCAACTATACTTATCTACATGTTTCATGAAAATAATATTCCACGCAAGATTAATATTATGATAATGACAGAGATAAATAAGAGAAGTTCAACCGACAGTGTCGTTGTCAAAAGATCGTATCGCGAAGCTAGAGCATAGATGTCTTGCTTTCTTAAAATTAATAATATTTTTTCCTTATTCTAGACAAGAAGAAAAATGAGCTTAAGAAAAATTGATACTAAATAAAGTTTTAGCTGTAGTATTCTGATATTTCGACCTCCAGTCGATATAATGACAAAAATGTTTAAGCGAGTATATGGATTATCGACATTAATATTTCATTAAAATAAACTATAGCTAATGATTCGTTACGTTCTGCTAATAATACTTAACATTAGAAGAATATATATCCGATAAAATTATGGACAATGCAGTAGATAGTAAATGTAATATCTTAATGTACAATGAGAGAGATATAATTTCAAAGTTTCCTTGTTCATACTAATGCTCTATTTTAAATTTATTTTTTCTCTTTTCTGTCTCATTGTCTTTATGAAAATATTATTACGCGGGATAATTTTTGCAAGTTGTATGTGTAAGTATTAGAATATCATAGATAAAAGAGAAATACATAGGAATGCAAGAATAACATTATTATCAGAAAATCATATCATGAAACTATAGATACTTTTAGTATTTTTTTCTTTCAATGTTAATTTATCCATCGTTATTTAAGGCAAAGAACTTAAAAACAAATAATGTTTTTAAAAATTATACGAACAATTTAAATTAATTTGACAATAGAGAGTTAAATGTAAATATAAATAGTTTATGCAAGAGAATAGACAAAAAAAATTGTAAGTATAATGCATATCATATATTAAAAAATTTAACATTAAAATATATGAAACTTTAGAAAATGCCATACAATATTCTACATATAATAAATAATAAAAAGAGATGATTGTTTTCTAACAAAAAATTTTTTTTATATAATCAAACTATATAGTATAAGTATTTCACTATCTAACATTAAACATCTAATATATAATTAAGTTTATATCAATTAAATTTGAAAACATAAAATATATTTTACGTTCTTTGTAAAATATATTTGCGAAATACATAAAAAAAGTATACTTAAAGCTGATTTGATACTTTATTAAACGCATAAATATAATAAAATAAAATTATAATTTTTAAAAGAATTCTAATTTTTAATGTATTTTAATATAAATTATTTTCTGTATATAATTTCTATCTTAAAAGAAAGATATTTTGGCTATAATAAAAATAATGCAATTAATAAATAGCAATTGATATAGATAAAATTGCATTAGAGAAGTTCAAATGCATGTGTTGCAATTTACACTTATAATCTGCGCACTTGCTGGATGCTGGCAGCCACTTTCATGGACATCGTTATTTAAACATATAATTTATAAAACTTACGCAACATTTCTGATCTCCTCATTATACGCATTTCTTATGTCCCAATTTGTGGACATTATACTAAATGTCGGTAACTCTGATGAATTTGTCGATGCCTTATATATGATGTTGACCATACTTGTAGCGGGCTATAAACAAGCTTATATGTGGATAGATCGTAATAATATTAAAATGTTAATAAATGTTCTTACCGAGAAACCTTTTGCACCATATGAAACACACGAAATAATAATTCAACAGAAATTTGAAACATTAACAACGTAAGTATATACACATATATATATATATATATATATATATATATATATATTAATTTGTTGTTACATTTGTTGTATCTCCCGGATTTTTATTTATAATCATTTTTGATCTTTTTATTTATAAATATAGGAATATTCTAAAAATAATAAAGAATATTCCTATATTCATATATATATATATATATATATATATATATATAAATTTGTTGTTACATTTGTTGTATCTCCCGGATTTTTATTTATAATAATTTTTTATCTTTTTATTTATAAATATAGGAATATTCTAAAAATAATAAAGAATATTCCTATATTCATAAATAAAAAGATAAAAAATGATTATAAATAAAAATCCGGGAAATACAATGAATGTAACAACAAATTAATTTTATAAAATGCATGGCTATAACAAATCTTTACTATCATATTATAGGAATAATACACGGCGGTACTTAATCATTGTTATAATGTCGATCTTATCGATAATCTCGACGTCTGTCTCTACAGATTTACCGAAAAGAAATCTGACATATAAGACATGGTTGCCATTTGATTATTCATCCTCTACTGTATATTTTCTTGTATACATTCATCAAATGATAGCTATGTCAACCTCGGGTATAGTTAATGTCGCTTGTGAGAGTTTAATTTGTGGATTTTTGTTACACATCTGCTGCCAGTTTGAAATTTTGGAGTATCGATTGACAAAACTTTCGTATAGTCAAAACATTTTAGACGACTGTGTTAATCATCATAATCATATTTTCAAGTTAGTTCTTTAAACTATTTTGTCAAAATTGTTATAAAAATATTCAAAATACATAAATAATAATTTGTTTTTTAAATAGTAGAGAAATGATTGAAGCGATTATTAAATAAACAAATATAAAATATTGCAAATAAATTTCGTTTGTTTTTCCTTCCAATAAATTCAACAATTTGTGAATAACATCACAATTTATTTGCTAAGATATCAATTTATTATATCTTTTAATTTCATAGATATGCATTCACGATAAACAACACATTTGCGAAAATAATCGCGATTCAATTCGCGGTAAGCATGTTGGTAGTATGCTCAAATATGTATCGAATAGCTATGGCAACAGATTATATGAGCCTTATTCCATTGATAATGTATACAAGTGCCATCTTAATGCAAATTTTCATATATTGCTGGTTTGGAAACGAAGTCAAGTTAAAAGTATATACATATATATATATATATATATATATATATATCTTGCTTAAATTGATTTTATCTACATAAATGTTAAATATTATAAAAAATATATTAATTCATTAAATAATAATAAAAGATGTTTAAAATAGAAAAAGTGTAGCATTTTCTGCGAATAATTGTGCAATTTATTATGTTATATATTTTTATTTGTAGAGTCTTCAATTGGTGAATAACGTTTATAATATGGAGTGGCTAACACTTAGCAATAGCAATAAAAAAGCTCTCGTATTAATTATGAAGCGTGCAATGGTTCCCATCCAGTTTAGTAGTGCTTATATAATCATAATGAATGTCGACTCATTTGTCGCTGTCAGTATTACTAATGATAATACTTGCTGATTATTATAAATATTTCAAATAAATTTAGATAATTTATATTTTTTACAGTTACTTAAGATGTCATATTCGATTTTCAATTTACTACATCAAACACAAGAATAATAATGATCAGTAACAGAGATTGTTATTGTTTTTATTTAATTTGTTATCCTACCACGTTTGCTAAATGTTATGTAAAAAACATGCAAAAATAAATATAATAATCTTTCTCTTTTTCTATTTTTTCTTTCTTTTTCTTCCTTTCTCTTATTTTATATGACTAAATAATTTTGAAAAAAATCTATAAACTTTTGAGGAGTTTTATATTACTATTTTTATTAAAAATTAGAAAAAAGAAAAGACTGTCCTAAATAATAATGTCAGAATTAATATGAGCCATTGAACACAAAGATTCATGTTATTTAACAAATTAAATATTTTTACACTCAAACTTTTCTAATATTTTATTTTCTATTACGTAACAAACATATTCGACGCTAAAATTATTAATTTTTTATTTGAATACTTTGAATTATTGTATTGTAACGTGGGATATAGCAATAATTACTTTAAAAGAGAAAAATATCTAAAAATAAATAACATAACATAAACAAATTTTTTTTAAATTGTATTGTGTATGAACTGTTAATGTGAAGCTTTATAAAGCACATCTATAACAAGAGAAATAAAACAGAAATTTTTCTTTACCCTACTTATGTTTGACGAGAACAGAATATGAATATAAGGATTTATTAATGGTAATCGAAAGAATAGCTGTAATATCTTATGACATCTCGATGTACATACACGCGCTAATACACATATGATCGTAAAAATATTATCCAAATGTATAGACTAGTATTAAGGTTTCATAAACTATAGCTAATGATTCGTTATTTAATATTAAAATAATATATATGGAGGAAATGAACAATGCAATAAATAAGTATGATATCTTGAAATATATATATATATATATATATATATATATATATATATATATATACCAAAAAAGTTGTATCAAAGTATTTCTTCATACAATAGACTAATTTATTCCGAGAAATTTATATTGGCATGTAATATTTTTCTGTCTCATTGTCTTTATGAAAATAACTACATTATACAATTTTCTAGTAAGACAAATATCTCGACAATTTTGCTTCGCGCCTCATGAAAAGATTATTGCATAAGAATCTTTTTATATCGATATGACAATAAGAAAAAAAAAATAGAGATAGACATAATGAATGCAACGAGCAGTATTATCAGAAAGTCGCATCGTGAGACTATAGACAATTTCAGTATCCCTTTCTTTTCCGATTATCCATTGTCATTTAAAAGTGTGACAAAGGAATGAAACAATGTTTTATAACTAATTATTAAATAGAATTTGTGTTTTTTATGACAGAATTAAATATAAAATAGTAATAGTTTGCTGTGCAGTGAATTATGAAAGTGAGACAATTTTTGTAGTAAACATAATATATATATATATATATATATATATATATATATATATATACTATTAAATATATTTAAAAGTTTTTAACATTAAGAAATAACATAAATCAATGTTTAACTTTTAAATAGAAATGCATTCCACACATAACATGAATAATCTTTTTAAACATAATCTGATAATCTCAAATAATAACTTTTTTTAATATAAATTTTTTTTGCATTTTTACAATGTGCAATATATCAAATATTTAGTAATTAAACTTTAAAAATTAATATTTTAAAGTAAAATATATATATATATATATATATATATATATATATTTGTGAAATAAAAAAAAATGAAATATATATACTTGAAAATATATACTTAAAAAAGACTTGATTAAACAAATAATAAGATAATATTCTTCCTATTATAAGCTTTTTCTTAATGAGTTGTTTCACACAATAAATTTATTTTACTTTTAACTATAAATCTCTATTTTTTTAACAGATATTTTAATCATACAATGAAAATTAAAATAATTAATAAATAATAGCTATTGATAGACAAAATTGCAAAAAGCTAAAATGCGAGTGTTGAAATTTACATTTCTAATCTGTGCATTGGCTGGATGTTGGCAACCATCTTCATGGACATCATTATTTAAACATATAGTATATAAAACTCACGCCATATTTCTCTTCTCTGCATTATGTACATTTGCAATGTCGCAATTTATGAACATCATATTCAATGTTGATAATTCTGATGAATTCACCGATTCTTTATACATGATGTTGTCCGTATTCGTCGCAGGATATAAACAAATTTATATGTGGATAGATCGAAAAAAAATTATGGTTGTAATCAACATTCTTACCAGGAAACCTTTTGCAATATGTGAAACACACGAAGCAATGATTCAACAAAAATTTGAGAACATGATAGAGTAAGTATCATTATATCATTTCAAATTTGCATCAACTAAATTACGTAATATCAAATAAATGCATCAGTCATATGTTGATAATTAATTTCGTAAATATTAGGAAAATATTTTGTTCTTAAATATTTTAAAGTAATGCTTTAGAATATATTGACATTTATATGCTTACGTATTTCTTTATGATAATTTTATACAAATAATATCTCACATAACATACATGACATAATTTAATTTCACTAAATACAATTATTATATATAATTTTCTGAAATTAAAACTATTCTTATATTTATAAAAGAAAAAATGTATAATACAATACTTTTGGAAATTTAATAATATATTACGAATAATAAACCAATATTTTAAATATAAATAATATAATAATAGTATATCCAAAAATAGAAGAGAAAAGACAGAAGAAGATCAGTAGATTCAATAGAGATCAGAGATTAAATATAAGAAAATGAATTAAAATAGCCTTTATAATTATTTTACAGGAATAATACATTGCGATATTTGAGTCTCGTTTTGATGGCGATGATATCGCTAGTTGTGACATCTGTTTTCACAGAATTCACGAAACAAAACTTGACTTACAAAGCATGGGTACCATTCGATTATTCATCCCCTGTTATATACTTTCTTGTGTACACTTACCAATTGATAGGCATGGCAATTTCGGGTATAGTAAACGTCGCTTGTGAGAGTGTAATTTGTGGACTTTTGTTGTATATCTGCTGTCAGCTTGAAATTTTGGAATATCGATTGACAAAAATTACGCACAGTCAACACATCCTGCACGACTGTGTTCGTCATCATAATTATATCTTTGAGTTAGTTTTTTAATAATTTTATTATTTTATTATTCAAAAATTATTTTTTTTTTAAATTTGAACTGTATAAAATAGAGTCATGACTTTATAAAAATTATCAATCGTTCGCTAAATAATATAAGCAATAATAAGAATAATTGCTTTATTGTTATCTTTATTTTTGGATTCTTGAATCGTGCCGATTCTTTGCGCTCCTTCTTAAATGAAATAAGAAGGAAAGATAAAAACTGATTTTATCGTTAATATGTTAGTAATGCAAATTTAATAATTTGCTAATAATTTTCGAGGCCATTCAAGAAATCGATTAAGAAACCTTTGTTCAACCGTAGATATGCATGCACGGTGAATGACATGTTCTCAAAAATAATTGCTCTACAGTTTGCGGTGAGCATGTTGGTGCTATGTTCGAATTTGTATCGAATGGCAACATCGAGTTATGTAATCTTCATTTCATTGATGATATATACGGGTGCTATATTAGCACAAATTTTTATCTATTGTTGGTTCGGAAACGAAGTCAAGACAAAAGTATATGACTCTAAAATAATAAAATAAAGTTTAGATATAACGAAAAATAGAAAATTAAAATAAATATTGACATTTTTTTATAATGTATAATATTGCAAAACATCTTTATTTGTAGAGTCTTCATTTGGCAAATAATATTTATAACAAAGTGGAATGGTCGGCACTTAGCAATAACTGCAAAAAAGATCTTCTACTCATTATGAAGCGCTCAACAATCCCTATCGAATTTAATAGCATGTACATACTGACATTAAATCTTGATTCGTTTGTAGCTGTTAGTATCAATTAATTAACACCATAGTAATTAAACATCAATAATATATAAATTGTAAATAACTTTACAGTTGCTTAAGATGTCATACTCGGCTTTCAACTTGCTACATCAAACTCAAAAATAGTAATATAATTAAATAGAAGTTATTTCGTTTATATTTAATTATTACGAAGTTATTTGTATAAATGTTAAATATTATAAAAAATATATTAATTCATTAAATAATAATAAAAGTTATTCAAAATAGAAAAGTGTAGTATTTTCTGCGAATAATTGTAATTTATTATGTTAGTAATTTATTATGTTATATATTTTTATTTGTAGAGTCTTCAATTGGTGAATAACGTTTATAATATGGAGTGGCTAACACTTAGCAATAGCAATAAAAAAGCTCTCGTATTAATTATGAAGCGTGCAATGATTCCCATCCAGTTTAGTAGTGCTCATATAATGAATGTCGACTCATTTGTGGCTGTCAGTATTAATGATAATACTTGCTGATTATTATAAATATTTCAAATAAATTTAGATAATTTATATTTTTTACAGTTACTTAAGATGTCATATTCGATTTTCAATTTACTGCATCAAACACAAAAATAATAATGATCAGTAACAGAGATTGTTATTGTTTTTATTTAATTTGTTATCCTACCACGTTTGCTAAATGTTATGTAAAAAACATGCAAAAATAAATATAATAATCTTTCTCTTTTTCTATTTTTTCTTTCTTTTTCTCCCTCTCTCTTATTTTATATGACTAAATAATTTTGAAAAAATCTATAAACTTTTGAGGAGTTTTATATTACTATTTATTTAAAAATCAGAAAAAAAGGAAAGACAATTCTAAATAATAACGTCAGAATTAATATGAGCCATTGAACACAGACATGTTATTTAACATGTTATTTAACAAATTAAATATTTTTACACTCAAACTTTTCTAAAATTTTATTTTCTATTACGTAACAAACATATTCGACGCTAAAATTATTAATTTTTTATTGAAATACTTTGAATTATTGTATTGTAACATGGGATATAGCAATAATTACTTTAAAAGAGAAAAATATGTATAAATAAATAACATGTCATAAAAAAAAATTTTTTAAATTGCATTGTGTATGTACAACTGTTAATGTGATGCTTTATAAAGCACATCAAGAGAAATAAAACAGTTAGAAATTTTGCTTTACCCTACTTATGTTTGACGAGAACAGAATATGAATATAAGAATTTATATTAATAGTAATCGAAAGAATAGCTGAAAGAATATCTTATGATATCTCGATGTACATACATACATGCGCTAATACACATATGATCGTAAAAATATTATCCAAGCAAATGTATAGATTAGTATTAAGGTTTCATAAAATAGCTAATGATTCGTTATTTAATATTAAAATAATATATATGAACGAAATGAACAATGCAATAAATAAGTATAATATCTTGATATATATATATATATATATATATATATATATATATATATACACTAAAAAAGTTGTATCAAAGTATTTCCTCATACAATAGGTTAATTTATTCCGAGAAGTTTATATTGACATGTAATATTTTTCTGTCTCATTGTCTTTATGAAAATAACTACATTATACAATTTTCTAGTAAGACAAATATCTCGAAACAATTTTGCTTCGAGCTTCATGAAAAGATTATTGCATAAGAACCTTTTTATATCGATATGACAATAAGAAAAAGAAAATAGAGATAGACATAATGAATGCAACGAGCAGTATTATTATCAGAAAGTCGCATCGCGAGACTATAGACAATTTCAGTATCCCTTTCTTTTCCGATTCCATTGTCATTTAAAAGTATGACAAAGGATTGAAATAATGTTTTATACCTAATTATTAAATTAAATTTGTGTTTTTATCACAGAATTAAATATAAAATACAAATAGTTTGCTGTGCAGTGAATTATGAAAGTGAGACAATTTTTGTAGTAAACATAATATATATATATATATATATATATATATATATATATATACTATTAAATATATTTAAAAGTTTTTAATATTAAGAAATAACATAAATCAATGTTTAACTTTTAAATAGAAATGCATTCCACACATAACATGAATAAACTTTTTTAAACATAATCTGATAATATTAAATAATAATTTTTTTAATATACATTTTTTTTGCATTTTTACAATGTGCAATATATCAAATATTTCGTCATTAAACTTTAAAAATTAATATTTAAAAAAAAAAAATATATATATATATATATATATAGATAATATTTTTCCTATTATAAGCTTTTTCTTAATGAGTTGTTTCACACAATAAATTTATTTTACTTTTAATTATAAATCTCTATTTTTTTAAGATATTTTAATCATACAATAAAAATTAATATAATTAATAAATAATAGCTATTAATAGACAAAATTGCATTAAAAAAGCTGAAATGCGAGTGTTGAAATTTACATTTCTAATCTGTGCATTGGCTGGATGTTGGCAACCATCTTCATGGACATCATTATTTAAACATATAGTATATAAAACTCACGCCATATTTCTCTTCTCTGCATTATGTACATTTGCAATGTCGCAATTTATGAACATCATATTCAATGTTGATAATTCTGATGAATTCACCGATTCTTTGTACATGATGTTGACCGTATTCGTCGCAGGCTATAAACAAGTTTATATGTGGATAGATCGAAAAAAAATTATGGTTGTAATCAACGTTCTTACCAGGAAACCTTTTGCAATATGTGAAACACACGAAGCAATGATTCAACAAAAATTTGAGAAGATGATAGAGTAAGTATCATTATATCATTTCAAATTTGCGTCAGTTAAATTATGTAATATCTAATAAATGCATCAGTCATATGTTGATAATTAATTTCGTAAATATTAGGAAAATATTCTGTTCTTAAATATTTTAGAGCAATGCTTTAGAATATATTGACATTTATATGCTTATATATTTCTATGATAATTTTATACAAATAATATCTCACATAACATACATGACGTAATTTAATTTCTCTAAATACAATTATTATATATAATTTTCTGAAATAAAAACTATTCTTATATTTATGAAAGAAAAAATGTATAAGACAATACTTTCGGAAATATAATAATATATTACGAATAATAATAAACCAATATTTTAAATATAAATATTATATTTTAATATAATAGTAGTATATCTAAAAAGAGAAGAGAAAAGACAGAAAGAAATTAATAGATTCAATAGAAATCAGAGATTAAATATAAGAAAATGAATTAAAATAATCTTTATAATTATTTTATAGGAATAATACATTGCGGTATTTAAGTCTCGTCTTGATGGCGATCATATCGGTAGTTGTGACATCTGTTTTCACAGAATTCACAAAACGAAACTTGACTTACAAAGCATGGGTGCCATTCGATTATTCATCCCCTGTTATATACTTTCTTGTGTACACTTATCAATTGATAGGCATGGCAACTTCGGGTATAGTAAACGTCGCTTGTGAGAGTGTAATTTGCGGACTTTTGTTGTATATCTGCTGTCAGCTTGAAATTTTGGAGTATCGATTGACAAAAATTACGCACAGTCAACATATCCTGCACGACTGTGTTCGTCATCATAATTATATCTTTGAGTTAGTTTTTTAATAATTTTATTATTTTATTATTCAAAAAATTATTTTTTTAAAATTTGAACTGTATAAAATAGAGTCACGACTTTATAAAAATTATCAATCGTTCGCTAAATAATATAAGCAATAATAAGAATAATTGCTTTATTATTATCTTTATTTTTGGATTCTTGAATCGTACTGATTTTTCGTGCTCCTTCGTAAATGAAATAAGAAGAAAAGATAAAAACTGATTTTGTCATTAATATGTTAGTAATGCAAATTTAATAATTTGCTAATAATTTTCGAGGCCATTCAGGAAATCGATTAAGAAACCCTTGTTCAACCGTAGATATGCGTGCACGGTGAATGACATGTTCGCAAAAATAATTGCTCTACAGTTTGCGGTGAGCATGTTGGTGTTATGTTCGAATTTGTATCGAATGGCAACGACATCGAGTTACGTAATCTTTATTTCATTGATGACATATATGGGCGCTATATTAGCGCAAATTTTTATCTATTGTTGGTTCGGAAACGAAGTCAAGACAAAAGTATATGACTCTAAAATAATAAAATAAAGATTAGACGAAGATATAACGAAAAATAGAAAATTAAGATAAATATTGATATTATTTTATAATGTATAATATTGCAAAACATCTTTATTTGTAGAGTCTTCATTTGGCAAATAATATTTATAACAAAGTGGAATGGTCGGCACTTAGCAATAACTGCAAAAAAGATCTTCTACTCATTATGAAGCGCTCAACAATCCCCATCGAATTTAATAGCATGTACATACTGACATTAAATCTTGATTCGTTTGTAGCTGTCAGTATCAATTAATTAACACGATAGAAATTAAACATCAATAATATTTAAGTTGTAAATAAATTTACAGTTGCTTAAGATGTCATACTCGGCTTTCAACTTGCTACATCAAACTCAAGAATAGTAATATAATTAAATAGAAGTTATTTCGTTTATATTTAATTGTTACGAAGTCGCCATACTTCGAAATATAAAAATTAATATCTTTTATTAATAATAATCAGAAATATTTTTAAAATATATCTAAAATATCTTTATTTTTACTGAAAATTTTTTCCATTAACGTTAATTTAAAAAAATTTTGTCATATATAAAATGTATTTATAATTGCAAATTTAGAGATGTATAAATTAAAATATTATATTAGTGTCAAATAATATCATATTAGTATATTATAACAAAATTTTAGTAATGGAAATGTAGATAAAAATATCGTTAAAAAAATTTTTAATTTATTCTTCCTTTCTCTGATAATTCTTATTATTTGTTTTAATATTAATATAATGTCAGAAATATAAATATTAATGTAAGAAAAAGATGAGTATATTATTTTAATAATTGAATTTATGCATAAAAATGACTATTAGTGTCATAAATTGTTTCAAAATCACATAAATATATCGAAATACAGAAATAAACTATTAATAATAGCAAATTAATATTAATGAGTTTAAACAAATTTTTTTTTTAATTGCTTCTAAAGTAGCTTGTAGTTTTTTCATATATTGAAACGGAATTAAAAACTGCAAATTGCAAAATGCATATCTACACGTAGTAAAAGGATTTATAAAACACATATAATTGTTATATATATTTTTAATTTTTTTCGTATTGCTTTTTTGAAGCATAAAATTCTTTAATATCATCAATTTTTTATTTAGATATTTTTTGAACAATTCTAGAATCAATTCTTATAAAATTAACGTTGTATATAATTTTATATCAATATTCCACAGATTTTTATTTTATATAAATACAATGATAATATGACAGTTCTTTAATTCCATATATTATTTTACTAAATACAACTAATATGTATAATGTATTAAAGATAATGTAAATATCTTGGTATTACATCATTTCAAAAATATTTGAGGTATTTGTTTTATTTATAAGTTTTAATCTTAATATAAAAGAATAAAAATCAATATGTAGTATTTTTTAGTCTTCGTTCGTTTGAAATTTCTTTTACGTTGGAAGACAAACGCACTGTCAGATGCACGCACACATAAATACACACATAAAGTTTAAACAAATATTGAGCCTCCACGTAATAAAAAATAAGCGCTAATTATCGAGTCCGAAATTGTTTTTCCGTTTTTCATTGTATAGTATAATCCATTATTGTGTCGTATTTCAATAATATCATTATAATTCACATTATTATATCGTTAATGATTAATAATAAATATATACATTTATACTTTTTTTAATCTTGATTTCTCGATTATGAGAACGATTTTTTCCGAGTACTTATTATGTCTCTTTCTGCAAAATTGCGAATTTGTTATCCAGAATGGAATAATAAAAAGAATTCTAGTTTGTTAATTAAAATTTCTCTGTTCATATCTTTGTAAAATCTTTGTAAAATATGTTTCTTCTTCTGCTTTGTGCGTCAGAGCAATTGTTTTTGTCATTTTATTTATTGGATTAACTTCGCTTTAATGCAATAAGAATTATCATTTATCATAATCGCTTATCTTCATCATATATGTAATATTGTGTTGATCAATCTCATGATCATGAAAAAAATATTGATGGATCACAACAAAATGGAAGCATTTCGGTTATTATAGCATCTGCAAGCGTCATCGTTCTTCCTTCGGTTTATAGATCGGTCTATTGTTGAGCGTATTGTGCGTGGAAATGTTATTGGTTCTGACCTGTATATACTTTGGTCTCTTGTATCGTGTGCTCCAATGAAGGTAACTATAGCATCCCGCTATCAAGACGCCTAACCCATTGCAAGTACAAGAGAAGATGAGAAGTATCGTCAGAATACCTTCTACCTCGGGACAATTAAGGTCCAAATATCTGGTAAGATATAAAAAAAGTATTGATTTTTATATGCACATCGTCGTAATATTAAACTTGTTGCGTCACACGATGTAATAAGGCTATCTTTTTTTAGAGAACGAAAATGTATTTAAATATCAAGTTCTTTTCATTCTTCAGAATTTTCGATAATGAAAATGATAAAATCAGAAAGATATTTAATAAGTAATGTTCTTAAAATGTTCTTAAAATATAAAAAAATGTCTTGCATATTATATTTCAAAACTTAATTTGAAATTTAATTATTTTTGATATTGAAATAAATAAAAATCTCTTTCTCTGGAGAATTAAAATAAAGATTAATAATTCTACAAATAATAAATATAAAATTAAATAATTATAAAATTCTACAAGAGAAACAGTGTTATCTCCAAAAACAATCGCATAATACATCACATATGTATTATAACTTTTTATAAATTTTCTAAATAGATGTTCTAAAAATATTATATAATTTATCAATGTATCTGAGACTAATTTTACATGACACACCTGACTGCACCTTCGAATGAATTAGGCGGCTCACCACGTGGCCTGCATACACACGTGGCATTTAGTACTCGTGCCGGAGTGCATTCCAGTCCCATGAGACGCGACAAGTGCATCGCGGAGAATACGCACGCGCTCACGCACGCAATGGTCGCCGAAACCGCCAAAAACACGCTAACAACCTGTTCATTGTAGCAAAACGGAATATAGGTGTGATAAAACACGATCAAAAAGAGCAAAAGAAAAAAGAAGGAAATACATTACATATTATTTGATAATTATACATGTATATTATTTCCCTAGAAAGTTATTAATAAAGAATAAAATTCATATTAAATTGTTGTTCTTGTTATAATTAAAATTCTTGTAATTAACACAAGAATATATATTATAATATACAAAATATTAGTTATATAACAAAGTATGCATATTATATTGTATGCATAGTATATTGTATTTTAAATTAATAAATAATGCTAATTAAATAAATAATTGTAAGCAAGAAATTATCATTAAAGAAGCTGGACATAATAAAAGCTCGATCTTGAATTTTTTTTATAGAAATCTATAATATATCATAGAGAATTCTTACCTTTGTGGCGGAAAGACAAAATCCGGGGCTTATACCCGGATATTCTTCTTTAAAACAGCATAAGAGACAGATTCCGAAACTACCCGACATCAAAAGCTGAAGATCCAAAATGTTAAAAAAATATTAAATCGTATATATGTGTATATAAGTGAATATACATGTACTTATGTGTTAAAGAGAGAGTAATAAATATAATTTCTTTTGTGTGTGTGTGTGTGTGTGTGTGTGTGTGTGTGTGTGTGTGTGTGTGTGTGTATAGGAACGTGTGTAGGATACTAGGTAGGAGATGATTTTTATTGCACACTTACCTTTGATTAGTTAAAGATTAAAAGCTTTCAAACATTGTTAACTTTATATAAAAAATGTACCATTAAAAACTATCAAACTAAGCTATCAAACATTAAAAGCTTTCAAACATTGTTAACTTTATATAAAAAATGTACTATTAAAAACTATTAAAATAAATGCAACCCAATAAATAATTATTAATTTTAAAAAATATAACTACTTGGATTTATATAACTATATATCATTTAAAAAATGACAATTATATTATATTATATATATATATATATATATATATATATATATATGTATATAAGTATATAGTGGAGATAATCACGTTATGCGTTTATTCTAATAAAGCTTATTAAATAAATAAAGAAAATTTCTATTCTATATCATTTTTGTATCGTCAAAAATGCATATCTCATTGCATAAAATTATAAAATTATAACACTTACAGGCATGCCACTCCAATAAGGATTGTCCACGATGGGAAGATGCGGTGCCCAAAGCAGTAACCACAATGACAGGAAAGTCACCGCGACACCAAGAATGGTCTGCAACGCCGCCAAACATCGGGCTAATCGTCGATGATGGACCAAAGGAGGTAAAAACTTCTCTTGATCTAAAAATAAACCCATTTTAATTCTCATGTGCAACTAAATATTAATTATGTATTTTGCAAATAAACATAATATAAATTCGAACATGTGAAATAGAGAGAACATATTGTCGACTTTATTTTCCATCACGATAAATATATTCTATTTTAGTCATCGTGGGATTATTTCATGAGAAAGAGAAAAGTCAAAGTTTTCGCAATGCAACTTGCCATATTACATCCGCTAAACGAGATTCGATCTTGCAGATCTAGAGATCAGATTCTAGAACGAATCATGTCACGAGGTGATCGGTCATCTATTAGATAATTCGACATTGCGAAACAGACATGCGCTCTATTCATCCTTTGTCGTGACATACATTTTCCTCTGTGGCGTAAACGGTCGATAACCCGCGAGTTCTATCGAGAAACCTGTGTAGTCTGATAGAAAGGAGAGTTTTCTGCAATATAAAACGGCCTCGTCGCCATACGTACAAGGTAATCCAATTGAATGATTAAGTATATCCTCCTTGTCAACTCAATAAAACAAGAAACTTACTCACTATTTAAGATTCGCGATAATTATTTTCTTTCAAATATAAATGTAAACCTAAACCATAATAATATTTTACAATAATGTACATATAATATGACATATGACTATGCTGTTGCGTTTTTGTTGGAAACCTCTAAAATTAACCCTTTATTTTGTAATTGAATATGTGTAATAAAACGTGCTTACAAAACTATTAAAAAAAAAAAATATATATATATATATATATATATATATATATTTTATCTATATATATCTTTTTGAAGACATATTGATTTAAAAAACTTCTATTCCGTATATTGGAACTTTACACAATAGAAATTCTCTCGCAACAAAAAGATTGTCTCCATTATATTCTATGATTGGGACGATTCTTTAACAATTCATGGTCATTTTGGATGTTTTAAATAGATATTTTAATCTTGTCACTTTAAATTTTTAAAGTTTTCGGAAAAACGGAATAAACTATAGATCACACAGAGCAATTCAGAGTCGAATATCGAAACGAAATTCTGTGATCTTTTTTTTGCTGTGAAATATATTTGTATTACATTGAGAAAAAAATATTGTAGACAATCTAACCGGTTTGTTCAATCTTCTTTCAGGTTTGGAAAGATAAATTCATGAATTGAACATATCTATTATTATGTCTTAAAAGAAGAGGTGCAAAATTAATATTAAAAGAGAAATTTTTATAGATTACAGACACAATAGTGATACAGTATAAAAATATTATTGATTACATACAATTTCGTGTACACAATTAAAATGTGGAAGTTTACTGTATATGTATATGTGTAAAGATGTTTTCCATATTATATAAAGAATCTAACATTATTAGCAAATGCAGGAATCTAATCCAACAATGTTGAATAAATCAACTATTAATGAGTTAAATAAATATAATTTTTCTCAAGGATGACAATTTAACGTTTATGATCATTTTTCGAGGAAGAAATCTGACGAAGATTTACATGAGTAATATAAAAAAAAATGAGAAACAAGCTAAAAAACCGCAAGATTCATAATGCAGGAATGTATATATGGGAATATATATGCTATATTTATTGAATATATTGTGATTCAAATTGAGAGTATAATGTTCAAACTTGTGTCTTGATTAAACATAGCTAAATCGAACATTTTGCTCAAAGTGATCTGTAAAATATTCAATAAAAAAATGAAAAGGAAATAAAAAAGAAAGATCCAAAATAATAGATATTAGCGATTCATCAAAAACATATTATTAAACCACTGTTATTGGCGCGTAAATTTTTACATTTTTGCAATTTTCTTAAATAAAAATAGTACGAAGAATTTACTTTTTAAAATGATATTAATGTATTATCAATGTATAATTAATGTATAATTCACTAAGAACAGTGTATAGTACATAGTCATTTATGGTTTCAGTTACAAGTTACATTTCTCAATCGCAGTTACATTTTATAATTAAATAAAAATTAGCACACAATTCTATATCATAACATTTTATGTGTCGAATTCTTTGGAATCTCATTATGGCGATGTGTAAATACTTATGTACGCACTTGAGATAATCATGTTTTATTAATCAGTGTTTCTCAATCATTTCAGTATTGAGAAATGCTATTAAATAAAAAGATGAAATAAAGAGCGAAATAACCTTCAAACTTTCCAAGAACTGTAAAGAATGTATGCATACGTAGAAGAATGTGCGAGAAATTTATTATAGGGTCTGATTTTATAGAGATTACATACTAACATTTATCAATATGAAACAGCTATCAAACCAAAGTATATACAAAGTATACATACTGCCACACCATAACATAAAAAAGTTTCTCATAGTCTCGTTATACAATTAACTCGTCAGGAACTGATTGTGAATGCACCTTACGTTACGTGCTTATAGAGGAGAAATTCTTTTGCCATGATACGCGCACGGAATTTTAACATCTCGCAGTCGTCGCTGAACGTCAAACCGTGAAAGGTGTGATAATTTCTCAATGGGAGATAAAAAACCTATTTTTACTTACGCAATGCACATACTTGCTGCGTGAGGATTGCATCTCATAGGAGCTCTAATTATACCGCAGATACATGTTAAGGAATGCTGAACATAAATAGTTTATAGATAGGTAGCTCATAAGTTAATAAGAATAAGAATTAGACATAAACAGTATGTATAATTATTTTAAAGTAATATACAATAAAATTTTTAATCTCTTTTTCTTAAAAACAACACATTCTTTTTAATTTTAAACATGCTACATTAACTCTGAAAGTGTAAATTAAAAAAGAGATTAAGAGACTAAAAAAAAAGAGACCTTCTTATAATAAAAATTTTTGTAATAAAAAAATTAATATTCTTTTTTTAATAATTGTTAGAATAAATGTGTCATTATATTTTTATGTATATATATCAATACTATCGTTATTTAAAAATTTCGAAATAATGCCACTTTAATTATAATGTTCAGTCATATTTAATTATAATGTTAATGATACTTTAATTATAATGTTCTTTTAAATATCCGAAATGTGGAGAGATATTATAGATATCCAATGATTACGCAAAAATAAGAAGAAATAAAGTTCTATGTTTATATCAAATTGCTATGTCGTCAAAAAAAAGATTATTTGGTTATGATTTTTTCTTGTATCGTTTTCAACGAATAAAATGGACACTACACTTAAGTGACTTATATTATTGCTCCTTTGAGAGATGGTTCACACGATGCAAGAATGCGAGACATGAATACGTATCGTTCGCATTGTATACTGCCTCGTATGTATGTCGTATTTATTGCACAATGCGAGGATATACCGGTGCGAATATAAAAGAAGAAAGGGCCGTATCGAGGAATCAAATATCGACCGACAAAATAAGTAATGCATTTAATACTTCTAATCTAACTAATTTGGCGTTAATAAATTATATTAATGCATTATCGTTGCTTCGTGATCAGATGCTTGATATACTATTTCATAGCATTATAATAAATAAAAACTGGGTGTAATCTTTAAAATGAAAAAAAAATATGTATCATTCATTATTAAAGTTCTTCATTATAAGGATTGAAATTATCTGACGCAATTAAACTTATAAAGATTTAAAGATAAAATTATTTGACATATTTAACGCCTTACATACATCCGTCATGTGATGTAATTATCTGTAATTTTTCTTCATCTGCGTCATGTATTATGCACATTGACGTGAATGGCCTCGCTTATGTGTGGGTGCGAATGTAAATGCATATATTATAAGAGATAACAATGAGCAACGTGGTACATCGTGTTGTTATGGCCGGCAAATTTACCGCAAAATATTACAACCCACATACACGCATACATGGAAACATAATGGATAGTACGTTTTCATTATCCGCTAGCTCTGTTGCATAAATAATGCCAATTATATGACTTACATAAGAAGAAACTATGGGTAACTGAATAATTGTGTATTACATCAATAACCAATTGGATGCCTTCGATTTCTCTCTTATTAATTACTCTCATTAACTAACTCGGCAATTATTTATCATTTTTGACACTCTACCGGTGAAAAATTTGTTAATATAAAAATGAGTATTATGCATTTAAATATAAATGTATGTTATCTAAAAAAATTATCATAAATATTTTTCATGAATCTACAAGAGGAGAAAGAAAGAGATCGATTAAAAGTTAACTATTCATGCAATGAAAAAAATAGCATGATCGTTTAATTATCTGATCTTAAATGAAAACCAAATACAGATTAATATGTGTAAGGCTGAAAATTGGGCGTAAGAATAGCGGTCCCATTTGTAAGTCTGTTCCACTGGTCTCAAAATAGAATTAGGACCATGTTAAATGCGTGAGCGGTCTTTGAACGGAATCACGGTATGTATACGTTTCATCAATTTCGACCCTTCGGCGCTCACACGTGTCGCTTGTATTTCCTTACAAGGGCAAAAAACGATGCTCATTGTTAAATTTATTTAATGCTTGGGTATTTTTATTATATAAATGTAAATGTAATGTTGTTTATATGTTTTAGATTTCTTAAATGTTTATATGTCTCGTAGATTCTTAAATTTCGAAAATTTATATATTTATATATTTACTCAGTATATATATGTTTTTTCAGCAAGAAAATCTTCTTTGTTCTTCTTTGTTTATCATATATATGATAAATAAATAGATAGTATTTTTATCCACTAAAATCAAACATAATTATGGCAATTTTGAAAGTATAATATAATTATTACGTGTGACAGACAGAATTAATTGAAATGCAATGCGAGATAATTTTAAAAATATCATAAATTTTCTGTCCATTTGTGCATCAAGCTGAAACTATATATTTCGAACACATACCAAAAAGATCACATGAAATATTTCCGACTCGGTACTTCCGCTATCTGTGGAGAACCATGTGCATCCACTTTAAAGTATATACGGTGATCAGCGGAGCAAGAAGCGTTTAAAACTCAGTGAAATATTTACGCGAGGGTGATTTAAGAAGAAAAGAATAAAACGAATTTTTTCCCTAAGTATAGACAAAATAATGTATTACTAGAATATACAATAATGTACCATATAATTTATATTGCGTATTTATATATTTTTGAAATATATATCTACTCTTTAATTGAAATATTAAATGAAAAGTTTTCAGTGTAGTGCAATAATTTTAGTACAATAAATTTATGTTATGTATTTTATACTCATAGTTTGTTTTTTATATGATTTTAAATATAAAATTATACTTATTTTACATAAAAAGTATCTATAATATATATAATTAACACGATAACTTATCTCTCTCTTATATTGAATGATAGAAATGGAACGTCATTAAAATTTATTTAATATAATGCAATTTTTAATTGTAAAAAATTACATTTTTCTACCATTAAATTTTTAATATTCAGATACATTTTTCATATTATGACATAAAAGGTATTTCAATTTCATCCTCTTTAAAAGCTTCCGTCATTCTACATGTCGCATTTTCGTCACCTCCGACGTCTTTAATTAGCTGCCATTTACCGCGTACATTTTATGCTAATTATCGTGGTGATAAAGAACTCTACCGCACTTTCCTGCGTCTACAATGTAGCGCTAATTATAATTTTCCTATCTGCCTTGACAGCAACCTCGATCCTGCCGACCGGCTCAACACGCATTAAGAGTAATACTCATTAGCGCAGGGAGCACAATAATGTGTGCGAAGCGACGAAACGATTATCAAAGAAAATCGAAAAAATCGACCAAATACCGGACCGGTTGCATTCCACAGCCGAGAAATGAGATTCCTGAGCGTGCAATCTTGCTCTCAAGAGAAATCGATTGAATCGATTGCAAAAAGCGAATATAATCTCATATGCAAGATCTCATCGATCGGAACGTAAAAAATAGCATCTCTGCTCACTTTACGATACTAAGTGCATATGTTTTTGCACACGTATTCCGAAACGCTTGTTTAAATCAAGTTGTTATTTTCTTGTGATCATATTCGCGATAATATGAGAAATTATGATTTTCTATTAATTGAAAATCATAAAATCACTCGAACAGATGCATCGTTTGTCGAGCATCGCAAATCATAGTAAGTAAATTATTTGGAATTGAGTTAAGCAGAATTTTTTTCAAGACTTCAAAAAGTAGTATAAGGGAAAAGATATAAAAAGATCAGGTAATAGTCTACTCACGATGACCAGTTCGATGCATCACAATCATCCTGCTGTGCCTCAAAGAATTTCTTGTGGGTGTGTGTCGACCGGCTATTTGAGAAGCTGCCAGGTTGACAGGAACTGTGGTCGACAAGCAGTTGGCCATCGATGGTGCTCGACCAAGTTCCTTTTCTTTATCGCCGCGGGAGATTCGTCCGATGTTCCCGGTTGATACTGCACCTTAAGATACCCAGTAAAATATCTAAGTATTTTGCTTGCATTTTATTCGTTTATTAAATAAAATAAAATTTAACTTAAAATTAAAAATTTAAACTTAAAAATTTAATTTAATTTCTAGAATTGCATTTGTCTATAAGAAAAAGGATATTTTACAAGCGTAGATAAATCTATTTTTATACGACATATAATCATAAAACTGAATTTTAAAAAATTTTTGTAAACTTTTAATGAAAAGTTCTTTTAATGAAAAAGGATATTTAAAGCTAAAAATCTAAGTTAATTACATATTTAATTACTTGTCACTAATCTTGTTTTAAAAAATCGGCTTATTGTATTTTTATTATGTACATACATTTTAAAATTCTAAAATAAAAAAATATATTTTTTTTTCTTCTAATTAAAAATTTTTACTTCTACAAATTTAATTAAATCACGTATTTTTTTAGTTGTACCAAAATTTGAAATAAATATTGCATCATGCACAAGCATGAAATCATCGCACATATTTTTCTTTTTCTTCTTGAGAAAAATTCAAATTCTTTTGCGTTTTCAAAGTTTAAATTTTGTTTATTTGAGATTTAACGTTATCAAATCTTTTATTTTTATAGGATTGAAATACCTTAAGATAAGAATTCCCATAAAAGAATAAAGATAATAGATTTACGATCGTTAAGTCATAATTCTAACATGCGTCACGATATTTTTCGTTTATTTTTCCTTATTATGTAAGCAAGTTTAACAAACATAATTTATTTTATCATGTAATATTAAACTTAATACTCCGAGCTATCAAACGTTCAATTTGATCATAAAATATACTAATCGCATATCTGTATCTTTTATTAGCGATTGCTTATTATTTATATTCTTTTTATTTCTCAAGGATATTTTTACGGCAGGATATTTTTACGAAACTTTAAAAGAAATATAATATCTATCCAACATACGTGTGTGCAATATTTCTAGATTTCTAAATTTCTACATGTATATAAATTATAAGATATATTTTATGTTATATAAAAAAAAATATTTGCAATTTTCTCCAGAAAAATGTATCATTAAAAGAATATATATAAAGCTACTGCAAATGCTGCACTTTTATCATTTATTTCGAAATATGCAATTTAGTTAATTGTACACGATTTTGGCACACGTGGATTTCTATGAAAAGTCGGCATCACGGCACTTAGAATTTGAAACGATAAGGTTTCATGGCGTTAAAAACACCTGGAGTAGAACAAATAGGTCACCATGACACGAGAACGATTAATGTACGACGTAGAGATAGGCAAATACAGTGCGTGCAATTTGAGTTATTCAAAATATTTGTAATTTTATAATATTTATAATTTTTGCGATTATTTTAATTTTTTTAAATAAAAATCAAACTCGCGATAATATTATTTTGAAAATATCAGTTAGAAATAATACAAATTAGTATCAGTTAGAAATAATACAAAATTAGTATTCATATGGTAATAATTATTATATAAATGATATATAACTATATAATATATAATTTAAGATTAATTAAATGTTTTGTTATGGAAATGTAAACGAAAAAAGAACCAAAAGTAAGTCATTTATCTTATATTATTTTTATCATCGCGTGTTGAACTCGTAGTTAAAAAGCAGATATTGCGCACATAAACACACGCAAAAAGCACATCATGGAAAGTACATTCAACTCACCGGTGACCTTGGTAGTATGAATCTTCGATACATTGCCCGCGCTGACGGCGCTACTGACCCTGTTGTTATTATTATTATTAATGTTGTTAATGTTGCCGCTGTTAATATTGTTGTTGTTGTTGTTGCTCTGAGACACGGCGGACGTGCCATTTCCGTCACGGATCTGATTCAGATTACCCACGCTCATGGCGGAAGTGACGCAAGGCGGCATCACTGGTACGACCTGTAAAGTCGAAGAAAAAGGTTAATTTTGCCAAATATCTCTAATCACTTTAAAGAGAGATATAACTGGATTTCGATTGTACGAAAAATATGGTAACACGGTGTGTAAAAATTTAAATTCTTCATGTTGATGTGTGATTTTTTGAATTAAATGATTAGTTTCGTATAAAAGTTTTTTCCTTTCGTGAAGTTTAAAATTAGAGCTATAAGGCCCGGTTTCACAATTCGAGTTAATCCGAGTTTAATACGTTAAACTGGGTCCTGATTGATCCATTCACTACTTAAACTCGGATTAACTGGATTGTGGAACTGGGCCTAAGAGATTGATGGGTTTAGGTGATTAGAATCAATCAACACTTAAATAATCAATACTTAAAATATTGTTCATTTAAAATTTATGTGAATAAAATATTCTCTCTGTGTTAAGTTAATTATAAAAGACTTTCTGTTTCTAGAAATATAGGAGGCATTTTTTTACTTTTGAAAACATAGAATGTAATGTATTTAGAAAATAAATATTTAATACAAACACTTAGAATGTTCAATGTTCATGTTTATGATAATTCAATGCATATAATGCAAGTGCGTGGATAATTAATACCGATTATGAACCGATCAAGAGCTTAATTGTGTTTATGTGAAATGTTATTCTTTCGATTCGCGTCACGTCGTCACGGAAAATCTTCTTTAGATAGTATATAAGGAGAAAGACGCGCAAGTAAACAGAGCCACGTGGATATAACCGTACCTTATAGTTGTCATAAAAGCTCACCGGCCGGCTTCTCGGCGCATACTGAATGTCCTCGTCGGTTTGCATCGTGACCGCGCCGCACAAAGAGTCCCTAAGGGATGCGCGCGCAGCTCATAGGACATTCACTCCGTAAGTCACCCTCCTGTCTTTCTCCACTTCCGGCGGATCTGTTAAGGTGAACACAGATGGCATGACCACACGTAACGAGACCATAACTGAGCATCGCAAATTAGCGCTGTAATTACGCGGTTTGATATGACGCGTAAATCGAATTGTAACTAGCAATCATGTTTCGTATCTTTTAGATAAAAAGTAGTGATTGTTATATTGCTATGAAATTATCATATGAAAAAATATTACATATTTTTCAGCTCTTTTTAATTATGAAGCTATTTGTGTGTAAATAGATAATAAAATAAAAATAAAGCGATATAGAGACACATCATTTTTATCAAACAGCCTTATTATCTTTAAATTTTTAGTATTGATAAAGTCTGTTCTTGCATAAAGAAATAAATTGAAATAAATAAATTCTAAAATATATTTCTTATGTATTTACATATATGTAATATTATTTATTTATACCTGAATATTTTCGTCAGCTGAAACAATGATCCATGACGCTTATCAGAATGTCATTTGGATTCGAATGTTTTCTTGTTTTGCACAAATTCCTTTACTTCCTTCGTGAACGCGTACTTAAGTTCATTGTTGATATTTCTTCCATATTGGATGTGGTTGATGACTCACAGCTTGCCAATCTGCAGGCAATTTCGACAGGGAATTTTCTCTTAATCCTATTCGACGTGTCGTAAGTCACGTTCGAGGGATGCTTTGATGCATAAAACAGGGATGATCAGACGTCTTATGAAGCGATAGATCAGCGATTTCCCTGACGTCGGCGTCCACGTGTTCGCACACGTGCGCTGCGCATCTATCACTCCATAAATGTCTAAAAAATTAAGAAAAATTACCCGCATGAGGATAGCTTTGATCGGCATCGTTTATTTGGACAGATCATGAAGCATGACTGAATTCTGCTCTGAAAATATCTCAAATACTTTTCTGATATATTTAGTCAAATAAAATTCTCTTTGAAGATAAAATCAAGTTATAACGATCGATATACCATAAATAAGAACGAAAAAATATATGATACATTGTACGTACATTGTATGATTCAATATAATTCTCTTATTTTAATATTCAACAGTATGATATAAAAATAGAATAAAACGACAAAATCAAAACGAATATGAAATAAAATGAAAAAAAATCCGTACGAAATTCGTGAGCATCGCTTTGTAAATAATAATACGAGACGTTACATTTTGAATAATCCTAATTTTATTGAGATTTATTTTGTTATTTATGGAGATTGATTCATCTTTCCAAGCTACTTCAGCGTTCTCACAAAAAATAGAACAATATTTTTTTGTGGAAACTTTGACACGAAGTACGTTAAGGCGGTCCGATATTGCAGTTCCTTCGGTCTCGCGAGACGCTTAAGTGCTGATGAAACTTTGATTTCAACTTAGCCATATGATTTCCCAAGCCATTAGAGCGAGTGATACTACGTCATGTATGATTAATGCATTTCTAAGAGCTGTTACTTTAATTTAAAAATGTGACTTGAAAAAAAAAGAAAAACCTTTTCAACGTTATCGATAAGAAATGTCGATTAAAAAAAAAACCATTTTATTATGTAAATAAAAATATTTTACTTATTTTTTACTATTTTTTTAAAAGAAGACACAATCCTTTTTTTATTTATTCCAAGATACTAATAAAGATTCTGATATCAGAATTGAATCATATAAATAAATCAAAGCAAATATTTTTATTTTTATTTATTAAGAAGAATATTTCGTAAAATAACTCATTTTTATATTATATATTAGACACTTTGAAATCGTGTATTTCTTCTGTCAGGACAGAATAAATAATAAAACTTTTCTTGCCTATTGATTCATATATTAAAGAAAATAAAAATACGTGACGTAAGATCTCTACGGTTTTATAGTGTCACAGTTTGAAATACAACAACTCAACGTTCGATTACATTATAGTTAAAAGTCTAAGTCTATTTTAATGTATTCAGCTTGTTTCACTGCAAAGCAATTGCACTCGACAGAATATCGATGACGCTTGACGAAGATATTCAGGATTTCACTTCCGCGAGAATATTGAAAAGAATAGAAATTATTAAATCAAGTTTTATGATAATTGTTGTTGCGTAATGAGAAAAACGAAAAGAAAGAAACATTTTTCTTACATAGCTAATTTAATTATATTTACCATTACAATTTAATATGAAAATATAAATACAAGCGGAGTGACATGTCCCTGAATTTTTTCATATGCTATTCCTGTTTTATATATACATATATATGAATTGTGAAATCTAACAAAGATATTTTTATACAAGAAAGAGGTTGTGCAAATATTTCAGCATGCTAACCATGGAGAAATAGAACGGAAAGAAATAGATTAAAGCTTGAATGGTATGAAAGCTTGATGTGAGCGTTGCCTAAGGGGATCTAATGGAGAAATGACTTATTTCCAGCTGTGTAACCCGAACACAAGTCTGTCGTAGGTAGGTCAGCGAGCGTGCAGGGATCTAAAGAACTTCCCACATTATTATATTATCATTGGCTTAACAATCTATTGCCAATATGAAAATTCTGTTAATAATAATACGAAAATTCGACGATGACAATATTTGCATTGATTATTAATAGTGTATGAGAGCTCTCGACTTTATCTTCGCTATGCGACTTTATTGCCTTGCATATATTACGCAATAATTCATTTACTTGAGATCTTGCTCGCACACTGTAAGAGTAAAGCTATACTCATGGAGCTTCGAGTATGACGACGAGGCCACGTTCAGAAAAGAAAGGAAAAAGAAACAGAATCTTGACGTAATCACTTGCTGCTATCTGCTGGGTGTCACCTGTCGATTGGCTACTGCGAGATATGCAAAGATATAATTCTAAATATGACTATCATGATGACATGTTTGAAAGATCATATTGAAGATAATTCAAGAATAATTAAATAAATATATAAATTATATTAATTAATTATAATATAAATTGTAATGATTAATTACATTATAAATTATATTAATTAGTTATAAAAAATAATTAAAGTTTAAATTAATTAATTAAATAAATATATAAAAATTATAGGCGATTTAAATAATTTTCAAATGTATATTTTTTAAATAATTTTTAAATTATTTTTTAAATGTGCCTAAGTAAATTTCTACAAAAAGAATAAAATTTAAAGAATTTGTATTTAACATACAGAGACTTCATTTTCTTACTTTTATAAAAAGTACGCACAATTGTACGCACAATTTACAATATGATTATTTTTAACTTTATGTCACGTTCATAAAGATTCATTTATTTACTGGCGATTGTTTGCCGACTTCAAATATACCTTAAAGTTCTATTTCTGTATTACGCAGTACCATATTCGAGTGCCAAAGCAAAATTTAGAGAATAAGAGCGAGCAAAAGTAAGTTCACGAAATTACGTAACATAGATACATTTTTAACTTAAAATTAGAAAATGCAACTTGTGATCAAATAAAACAAATAAGAACCAAAGTATTTATATAAAAAATCAAGTATGTATAATTTTCTATGAAAAAATGTATTAATTTCATTTAATATTGTTAAAAGTTTTAATTAATTTTATTATAATTATTTGTTTATGTATAATATTAATTATTAAAGTAGGAGTAAAAAGTTTATGTTTTATTTGATGATGATTTGATGGTTTTCTATTATATTCTTATCGCTCTAAAGCAGAATCATAACGTAATAATTTATTTGACACACAAGATTTTAAGAATATTTGATACTTCTAACATCGTACTATCATTATGTGTAAAAAAATTAGATATAACTAACGTACAAATACAGATATAACTAATTAGATATACCTAACGTACAAATTACAGTTATAATATATGATTGTTGCAAACGTATGTTTCCCGTAACGCGAAATATACAAAAAAAAAAAAACAATTATAAAAAAAGTCTAAATGATTAATTATAGCATAAAGGTGTCTTTTTATATGTATGTGCGTGAAAGCAGTATTTAATAATTGTCACGAAAATAGTCATTAAAATAAGGCATTATTTGAGTGTCATTTTTTGAAAGACACACGTGTTCTGAAGACGTAATCGTGACAGAACTATCATGCTTTCAATGTCATTGTTATGGATACAAGTCATGCACATTTCGTGATATTTTTCCATCATTAACTTCATTTTCGAAAAAAAGATTAAAAATGCAATTGAATTTTTTTCACAAACATTGATGATCATTATTTGAAATAAAATATTGTAAAAAACAAGAATATACAAATACTATATGTAACATAAAAATAAAATTCTTTTTTTATAATTTGATAATACGTGCGTCATTACGAGAAGTAATATGACCCTGAAATAATTGCTTCGAATATTATTCATAATTTATATTAACACGCAATGAGATTGTGTTTGTCGAAGCGCTTCATGCGAATAACGCGCAAAGCTCGGAAATATATTCTATCGCGATAATATTAGTTGAAAATCATTTTAAATATCAATCTTATTATATTGGATGATAGAATTATAAATCAATATGACGGAAGAGAAATGACGTAATCAAATTAATTCATGATATGTTATATCTTTCTTAATCTTTTTAACAGAGATCAATAAATTCATGCTCATGATTAAAAAATTAAGTCTGTGCATGTGTCGTTCTTTGCGATTAAAATAAACTAATATTATCGTATTATATATAATTATAAAAATAGAAAGAATTTTGTATAAATTGTAATTCACATATATGGGGTAACAAATCCTGTTGTAATATTGTTGAATGCAAATAAAATTGCGTACGTTGCGTGTATACATTAATCCACATTAAATTGTTAGTAATTGTAGTAATTAACGGCCGCGAGAAAACAGCAGTCGCATTTTATCATACTCGATTTTAAGCAATCATATTTTTCACATTCACTTTGAACACTTGCGCACGTAATTAATGTGCATGAGCAAGCTGACGAATATTTTAGAACTCAAATGTAGAACGTGTACATCTACTAACCCAAATAACACATGACTTTT